GGACAAGCCAGGGGAGCTGGGGAAAGACAGGCCTCCAGTTGGACAAGGTCCTTTAGCCTATGCACACAGAGGAGTCCCTTTCATCTTGTTCTTCCTTGACTGGACTGGAGTCTTGTTAGCCAGAAGGGCAATCTTTTTTTTTCTTTTAGTTTTTTGAGACAGGGTTTCTCCATGTAGCCCTGGCTGTCCTGGAACTCACTTTGTAGACCAGGCTGGTCTTGAACTCACAGAGATCTGCCTGCCTCTGTTTCCCTCTGTCTCCTAAGAGGCTGGGATTAAAGGTGTGGGCTACCACCACCCAGCTAGGACAATCTTTGTCATTCCTCAGTCTTAAGTGAAACCTAATTCACATTCTGTCAGCTCCTCAGCCCTGGAGGGTTCAGAGCACAGTGGAGAATCCTGGGAGGGCTGGGGGTAGGACTCTGCGCTTCATCCAAAGACTTCTCAGAAAGTGGTTCCTCTAGCGGCTCAAAGGGGTGAGGGACTATGCTTGTTGTATCAGGCACATTCATGCCTGTCTATGCTGTGCATACGCTATTCTTTCTCACATGCATTTTCCTCCTGCTATCCTCTGCTCATTCTGAGCCCCAGTTTGCCAGTGACACCCTTTCCCACACAACACCTTCCCCTCATGCAGCTCTTCCTGCAAGCAATCTACATTGCTCAGTGCTAGACAGACCTAAAGTTCCAACACAAAAAGTGTATAGCTTGTCCCCTCTGGCTTCAATGCTGCTGGAAATTCCTCAGGCTCAGTTTGTGGTGCTTAATTTTGTTCCCTAGTCCCTGAAACAGTGGGGGAGTTCAACAACTATCTGTGGAAATAAGCAGAATCCAGATGAACAGAGAGGTACCCTCGGAAATGGGGCTAGCATGAGGAAGCTTTGTTGGTTGTTTTTTTTTGTTTTTGTTTTTTTTTTTTTGAGGGGTGTGTTGTTAGTTTTTTTGAACACAGGTCTTGCTGTGTAGTTCTAACACACTTCGATAATTGCTACATATAGCCCAGGCTAGGCCTGGTACTTGCTAAATATAGCCCAGGCTAGTCTCAAACTTACAGCAATCCCTTTGCTTGTGGTTCCTAAGTACTGCCATGCCCACGTGACGAGATGATTTAACATAGCATTTTAAGAATTTGCTCTTTGGTATCATTAGGATTGCAGGCTCCTCCTCTTCCTCCCCAAACACATTTAATGAGTAAGCCAAAGGTGACTGTTTGCATCTTAGAGGCTTGGTGGGAAGCCAGGGTTCCTTTAAACATTAAACCTTCGCTGAAACGTTCAGAAATCTGCCTTACAGATCATTAACTTCTTCAGGAGGAGGGACCGGGAGCCCTGGGGAATTACCTGTGGTGTCTGAGTTATGAGAAGAAGCAAAGCAGACCACCTTGGAGCCAGAGAGAGATTTTATCTATCAATAGAGATGGGACTGGGTTCACGCTCTAGCTACGCCAGCTGTGTGGCCTGAAGCAAGCCAATGTCTCTCCTACTCTAGATTTCCACATCACCATGGTGGAGGCACACTGTTCCCTTTTGTAGAGATTTAAGAGAATCTTAAACTATAAAGTGCCTTAGTTTTGTAGCTTCCCGTAGGGAGCAGCAACTATCATGCTGCCTATGGAAGACAGGAAGGGGGCTAACCTGTTTTCAGGGTTTACCTTGGACATCAGAAAAGAGGTAAGACAGCTAGGACCACCCAACAGCACCTTTTGGGTATTAAAAAGCTTATCCCGGGGCTGGAGACATGGCTTGGCGGTTAAGAGCACTGACTGCTCTTCCAGAGGTCCTGAGTTCAATTCCCAGCAACCATGTGGTGGCTCACAACTATCTATAATGGGATCCCATGCCCAGTTCTGGTGTGTCTGAAGACAGCAACAGTGTACTCAGATACATAAAATAAATAAATCTTTTAAAAACAATTATCATCTGCCTCCCACAAATGATTTGAGGTTTGTTCTTGTTACTCAGCTTTATTTTCTGTGTGTGCCCCCATGTGTGTCTGTGCACTACTTCATTCCTGGTACCCTCAGCGACCAGAAGAAGGTGTTGATTATCTTGGAACTGTGAGTTGTCATGATGGAGGCTGAGAATTGGCCTGGGTCCTGCTGAAGAGCAGCCAGTGCTCCTAACCACTGAGCCATCTCTTCTGCCCTGTTTAGAGGTTTTGTCATTTGGTTTTGGGGACAGGTCTCACATTTGCAAGGTTGGCCATGACTTTTCCTAGGTTCTCGAGGATGACCTTGAACTTGTGAACTTCCTATTTTTGTTTTGTTTGGTTGAGACAGGGTTTCCCTGTATAGCCTTGGCTGTCCCTGAACTCACAGAAATCTGCCTGCCTCTGCCTCTGCCTCTCAGATGCTGGGATTAAAGGTGTGTACAACCATCACCTGGATGCCTCTTAGGTGCTATGATTTAAGTATGGACATACTACCACACCCAGCTTTTGTGGTGCTAGGGATCAAACCCAAACCCAGCATTCATGCTTGCTAGGGGCACACTCTGCCAACTGAGCTACATCCCAGCCTGATTTGAGGAGTTTGAATTATTTATTTTTTGACAGGGTCTCACTGTGTAACACTGGCTGGCCATGTAGACCAGGCAGCCCAGAACTAACATCTTAAAGACCCATCTGTCTCTGCCTTACAAATGCTGGCTTTAAAGGCATGAACCACCACCTAATTTGAGGGTTTTTGTTTGTTTGTTTGTTTTTAAGCTTTTTATTTGTGTGTATATATGCCATGTATGTAGAGGGGTCCCTGGAGGTCAGAAGGGGGCATCAGATTCCCTGAAGTAAGAAGCCCACCCTAAGGACTCCAACACACACACACACACACACACACACACACACACACACACACACACAGAGGGGGGGAGGGGCTAGGAACCCGACTCCAGCCCTCTACAAGAGCAGCAGCAAGTGCTCTTAAAAGCTGAGGCATCGGGCTGGAGAGATGGCTCAGCGGTTAAGAGCACTGACTGCTCTTCCAGAGGTCCTGAGTTCAAGTCCCAGCAACCACATGGTGGCTCACAACCATCCGTAATGAGATTGGATGCCCTCTTCTGGTGTGTCTGAAGACAGCGACAGTATATTCATAAATAAAATAAATAAATAAATCTTTAAAAAAAAAAAAAAAAAGCTGAGGCATCTTTCTAAACCCTTGATTTGAGTTTTCAAAAACCAAATATTTCATGTTTCACTGCAGATGCCGCCAACCACACTGAACATCGTGTTGATCGAGGGTCCTCGAAGACCTTCCACTTAACCAGCTTTGTCTCTACTGTTCACCTTGTTTGTACAAAGGGACTGCATCTGGAGGTTGCAGCCAGATGAGTGTGCAGTGCTTAGAGTAATGCCCATGCAGAGACGCTCCGTGGGCTGAGTGGCCAGTGTATTGTGATCCGATCAGCACTAAACAAGAGCAGAAAGAGCCTTATCGAGGAACGTATTCTGCGAACATGGCAGGAAGATGCTTCCGATCCCGCTCAGAGCTGTGTGCCTTAGACCAGCTCACTTATACAGGGTTTGCCCTGGATAACCTCCCAGGTTCCTAAAATGGTCCTGGGCCAGTCTACTGTCAGTTTCCCAGAGTCCTGCTCAGATCTGGGCTGGATTACTTGTTTAGGTGCTCCGTCCCCCGTCCTGCTCACTTAAGGGGCGGTAGACATCCTTTCTGTCTCCATAGTACTCAGTTTGAACCCAAGGCCTCTTGCACAGATAGGCAAATTCTCTGCACCCAGCCCTACATTCAGCCCGTCTCTTCCCCTTTCATTTTGAAAAAAAAAAAAAAAAAAAGGCTCACTAAATTGCCTAGGTTGGCCTCGAACTTGCAGCAAGATCTCTGGAACAACTGAGACTACAGGACAACACCAGCACAAGGGGCAGAACTGTTGTTTCTCTCCTGTGCCCTGCTCAGACCTTAGCTTTCCACCTGCCATCTAGCAGCACAAAAGATTAAGTACCTGTCTGAAACTTGTTGGTCAAAGAAAGAAGAGTGAGCACTTTCTCTTTTCAGAGATGTCTGAAATATCCGGGTTCCTCTTACTGTTCCTTTGGGGGTTGGGAGGATGGTCAAAACAGGTTTGGACATGGGAGAGGCTGGGTCTCCTCCTGGTTAGATAGAGAAAGCTCCATGGATTTGGGGCACAATTGCCAGCCTTTTGGTCGCTCCTTCAGCCAAGGTCTGTACCCAGGTCTGTTCGGGCATCCTCCCCTCCCGGAGAAGAGGTCTCTTTCCAAGCAGCTGGCAATGCAGGCCCCACTCTCGGTGCACCCGATGCTCAGTCAACGCCAGCTTACCCTGAGGCCTCAAAGAGTGGCAGCCAATGATCTTGACCTAAGAGGACGCCCAAGGGTGATGGGGCGGCCCTGCGGAGAAGCCCACCGACCCATCCCGAAACGTTCTCCACACAAAGGCCATTCCTCAGCTTCCCGCTCCCGCGGAGCCGGGTGGAGTCGGCTGGAGCGTGGCGCCTTTTGCGCTCCGGCTGGGCCCCCAAGTCACCCGGGTGCCCGTCCTCTTTCACGCCCGAGTCACCGGGGAGAGATCGGGTCGGCGCCCGGGACACGGCCCTGTGGCAGCCGGTGCGCCCCAAATTCAGGGCGCATCCTTCGGCCGTCTAGGCGGCCCTCGCTCGGGGAGTGGAGCGGAGCCGCGGCTGCTCTGGGCTCCCGGCGTGCGCCCCGGTCGAGCGGCCACGACCCTGGGAGGCCGCGGGAGGCTGGGGGTGGGGACAGGCCGAGGTCGCGGCTCCTCCAGCCCCTTCCGCCGCCCCTCCTCTCGCCTTTCTCGCCCTCTCTTCCCAGGCCGGCCCGCGAAGCCGCCGGCTGGGCCTTTCACCTTCAAGCAAAGCTATGAAGTAGCGGTCGCCGCGGCTCCTGGCGCCCAGCGGGGCCCCGGGGCGCCTCGCACTCCCGCCAGCCCAGCCTCGCCTCGCGGGACCCGGGGCGAGACAGGCTTCCAGGGCGAGGCCTGCGGGCCGGGCCACACTCCCGCCCGCCCGGTTCAGGGCGAGTCCAGCCCGGGACTCTGCAGCGGCTCCGGACGGGGAGAGTGGGGCAGAGGCTCGCCTCTCCGAGGGATGGAGGGGATGGAGGCGGCGGCCAAGTCCGCGCGCCGCTCTCAGTGAGTACGGAGAGGAGCCGGGCGGGGTGGCGGGGCACACCCCGGGAGACCCGACCTCTCGACGCCGCAGAGCTGGAAGGGTCGAGGAGGCCGCCCTTCCCGTCCATTTTCATTCCAGGTTCTTTCTGAGTTAGAGCATCGGTGCTAGGAGTTATGACGTCTTCCAGGAAGGTCGTCCGGAGGCCTTCAGGAGAAGGTCTCATTCCACAAGATCTGCGGACAAGTCTAGAGTGCGATTGCAAAGTTTACCCGTCAATTTTTCTGAAAGCTCATATTACATCCTAGGCTTCTGGATTGGGTCTCAGAGAAGAGGTAGCTGGGCTGCAAAGAGAACCGTAGTACATTTTAGATCAGTGGTTCTCAGTCCTAATGCTGCGACCCTTTAAGACAGTTTATCATATTGTGGTGATCTCCAACCATAACATTATTTTCGTTGCTACTTCATGACTGTAATTTTGCTACTGTTACGAATCATAATGTGAATATCTGATATGCAGTATATCTGATATGCGACCCCGTGATGCTATGAACCGCTGCTCTAGATGACCTAGTAGAGAGAATGAATTCTGTAATCCTTAAACTTCACTGATTTACTGCTGTGAAATTTTGTGTTGTGTATGTATCTTGCTTTATAAAATATGTATATCCAGAAAAGCACATAAATTGAATTATAATAAGTGACTGTAGGGGACTTGGCCTTTAAGAACATCTTATAGTGGGTCCGTATTGTGAGAAGGAAATAGTTAACTTCTAATATGTAGCCTATGCACAAATTCTTATACACTGAGTTTACTTCGTATGGGACACAGGTAGACTAGGATGACTTCCGAGTGTTCTGAGTGATCACTAAGACACAGTTGCTTGTACAGTGATTAAGACAGTTGTCACTTCATTCTCTGTAAAGCAATTGGAATCAGCCTGGCCACCAAGGGGCCATATAATACTGGTGAGTCTTGTGATCTCTGTGGACTCTAGTCTTACCTAAGAACAAAGGGGTGCAGTTAAAGGGTCACTGTTCTTGAAGAGTCCTGACTTGGACTCCCACATGGCATCTATGTGATGTAATTTCTCTATACCTCAGTTCACCATCTGTTAAAAATAATATTTTTATTTCTATATTATACAATATATAACAATTATTATATAATAAATAATAAATCTTAATAAATCTTTATTTGTATAAAAATAATATTCTAGCACAGACATGTTGGAATCATTTTAGAAAATGTTGAAATGTTTGAAAACCTCTGGCTGACATAGAGCAGATAGCTCATAGTTTGTGACTGTCACCATTTCTTCTTTTGAGTACAGCTTGACTCTAGTCTAACACTTTTGCACTGGGGTTGGCATGAAGCTGTCAGGCAGCACCTTCTGTTGGAGGGACAGGTCCTTCATCCACAAGGAAGAGTACTGACCATTAGCCAACACTGCCATTCTCCTCTGAGGCCCCCTTTAGCCCAGGGTGGGGGAACTACACTGCTTTTCACTATGGTTCACATTTTGCATTGGATTGTTTGAGGCCTTGTTCTGCTCATCCTAAAAATGGGCATAGAAAAACGGGTATTATTTTCTTCAGTGGGTTTATTGCCCATGCTGCAGTAACCACCCTCCCTAGTCCCCTCACCACACTCGAAAGAGCATTCTTCATGCCTGGAGAAAACAAGCTGGCTAGTAATTTGTTTGTACTGTCCTGTGACTTGTGCTTTCCAGTGTGTGTCCACATCATATAGAGGACACCTCCTCTTCTTGAGGTATGCCATCTGAGCAGGGGTCCATATCAGTGCACTGTGGAGACCAGGCAGGTTCCTGGGGCCATCCAGGTTCAGGGTCTCAGCTTCTCTTTTTCCCTGCAGAGCATCCAAGTCGAGGAGCAGAACACACCCCACGAAAGCAACTCCAGCTATGGCTAGAGATGGCGCTGAGCAGTCAGACAGCAGACCTCTCCAGAGACCTTCACCCTGTCCCCAGGAAGATGGAGCACGTAACCTGATGCCCCCCAAGCCTCCCAGGACATGGGGGCTGCAGCTCCAAGGCCCTTCTGTGCTGGAGTCTAAGGTGAAGGCCTTGAAGGAGAAAATGACAGCAGGAAAACAGGGGATAAATCCTTGTCCCACTTCCCCTGAGTGTCCATACCCCATGAAATCCAAATGCCACCAAGTTAAGCCTGGAGCAGTCTGGAGTCTACCAGATGCCTTGGTGGTCCCCCATGCTCAGAACCCTAATGATAGACATCTGGCCAGACATGTTAATGAGAAGAAATCTGCCAGGAACAGTGGATCCAAGCCATCTACCCCTGAGAGCTGGAATGAACAAAGCCCGTGGTCTCCAGAAGCAGTGTGGATGCTGGCTAATCACGAGGAGGACCCAGTACCAAGGTCTGGCTCTTTACAAGAAAGTCCCAACAACCAGGTTTCTGCAGGCCAGCCACAGGGGCCTGGTCCCTGTAAAACCACCCACTTGAACAGCCTGAAGAAGAGAGGACCATACCCGCTTGGAGATGGCATGGTCACAAAGGCAGATCTGGACAGCACAGCTCTAACCTCCAAGGAGGATTTCATTCCTAGAACAGATCAGCCAGAGACGTTCTGGAGAGCTGGTGGCTTGGAGGCTCTGGGCACTGAGGCAAATGCTTTGTCCCTGTCTGACCGGGTAGAGAGGAACCGCCTCCTGCTGCAGGAGATCCTGAAGGTTTCCAGACAGAGTCCTCCCAAGGCAGGGAGCCCAGACTGGACTCCACCCTGGGACAGGGATGCATCAGGTGAGCCTTGCTTTGCCGGCTTGAGTTGGAGCAAATAGGACATGGTAGGGGGCTGGAATGATGACACAATAATGTCACCCACATAATCACTGTCCAGCTGGGACATAAGGTCCTTTATAACGCACATGCAGCCCTAACTGCCACAAACCCCGTGGCCCTCTAGATCAGTGGGAGGCTATTCTTTGTGCTTAGGGACAGAGGCTATGAGACTCCCTAACCCTGTAGCTCTTTGTAGAGTAGCCTCTTGTATTTCCTCTAATGATGTCGCCCATGCCATCCCCAGTGTGGTAACATGACCTCTGGTGGGCTAGCAGACAGGAGCACATCCCCAAAGAGTGGGCTGAGTGTCCTGCCCACTGGGCAGAGGGCCACAGGACACTGTTGGAGGTATGCGCTCAGACTCGGGAAGACATCTTTTCTCGAGCTTCATGACCTTACCTGAGTGAGAGCTTGTATGGATTCTCATAACCCATCCAAGTTCACTCACAGTCTGACAACCTGTGCCTCCACTTCTCAGACCAGAGCTTTCTAACCCCATCACACTGGAGATTAGATTTTAGTGTGTGGATTTAGGGAACATAGGCATTCGGCCCACAAAGGGGGTAGAGCATCTCTCCTCTGTTCACCAGTTGGTGGCTCTGCCCTGATCTCTGCTTCTGCTCTGGGCCCTAGAGCGACCAGCGGGAGACGTGGACTGGGACTCGGGCACCCCCCAGCAGGACTCAGGTCAGAGCAGGTAAGGGTTCTTCCTTACCATTCCTCCGTTTTCTATACACCAGAGCAGTAGGAACCCTTGCTAAGGCCAGAGGAGACAGAGGCAAACCTTTACCAGTAGATAGTGGCCTCTGCCAACCATCGTTCTTAAGGCCCTGTAGAAGGTACCAGCTGCTGGCTACCTATTATCTGGGCCAAGCCACTGAGTGCAGAGGTCTGCAGCAAGCCTTCCAGTATCTGCTTGGTGTCCTGGAGGCCATTTCCCCTGCCTAGGCTTGTACTTATTTTAATAGGAGAAATTGAGAAGTCGTAGTTATCTGCTTAGTTCATAGGATTATTGTGAAGCTAAAGGGCTTGGGTGTGAAACTCCTTGGGAAGGTACAGGAACAGGACATTTTCACTCCACCTGTTCCTTCCTAATCAGAGAAGTGTACAGGGCTCAGGGCCAAGGGTTTCATCCAACCTCTCAGCAGGGCCCACAGACTGTTTTCCTACCCCTTCATTTCTGTTTTAGGGGAGCTGCTGTGCAGAGAGTGCAGGGGGTGGGGTAGGGGACAGTGTCCCAAGTCTGGAAGAGTGGGATCTGAGGTGTGGTGGGGGCCACCTGGGGGCCTGAGCCTCTGCTGGTGCCCACTCAGAGGCTGGTCTTTGCCTTTGGCAGCCTTAAGCCTTTGCTGGGATATTGGCACACGAGGCTGAGAGAGGCCTTGGGTCTGGGAGTGGCCCCCTTTTCCACAGCTGCACATGACATCAGTCTGGGAAGAGTTTCATGATGTCTGCCATACAGTAGCCAGCTTTGTCTCTTCTCACTGGTCAGGCTGCTCCCTATGTATCTCACCAAGATTGACTGGACCTTCCCAAAGCACGGGTAAGACCTCTGTAACAGAGTGCATCTTATAATGACTTAAAATGACTTATGAACCACAGAAACACCATTTTTGCGGTCTAGGAGGCTGGGAATCCAAGAGTGAGAAGGCAGAAGATTCAGTGTTTGGTGGGGGCCTGCTTCCTCACAGATGGCATGTTCTTACTGCATCCTCACAGCGTAGAAAGGGACAAAAAGGGTTTTCTGGTGGACCTTTTATAAGGGTGGCAGTTTGTCCCCATGTTCTGATCCCATCATACTGGGGTTAGATTTCACCATACAAAATTTAGGAAAATGAGGGTGCCCAGAGTCAGAGTTGTGCTCAGCTTGGGGTATGGTGGTGGAGAGACGGACGGCTGGCTCTTCTTTTCTTCTTCTGCCTTCCTGGCTGCTGTTTTCAGTCTCTGACCACATCCTTATCTGACCCCACCACTGTGGAGTTCTGCTCCTTCTGTGTTCTCTTTACCTGCAGCCCTCTGAGAGAGCCTTGAAAAGGCTCCTGGGTGCTGTGAAGAAACCCCTCCCCCCAGCTGCCAGTGCTCTCCCAGCTGCTGGGAGTTTGCTCAGAGTCCTTGTAGAAAGAAGGCAAACCGCTGGCTTGCTCTGAAATAATGGGTAACAAAACCTGGTTCTCTTAAAGGAGCCACTCAATTGGGGATACAGAAAGACTTCCACCCATGCCTGTGAGGATATTTAGAATCTCAGGACTAGACTCCTAGAACAGTTTAATCTGACAGGCCATCTGTAGCCTTGGGTTCTACATCAGAATTCAAGTATGAGGGTCCAGTGTGATGGCACATAGCTGCAAGCCCATTGCTTGGGAGGCAGCAGCAATAGGGGTACATGGTCCATGGCTGCCTGGGGTACAGAGTGAAATCTTGTCTAGAAAAGAAACAGACAGATCTCAGATATGGCATGTGTGCATGTATGTTGTATGATTCACATATGTATTTGTGTGTGTGTGTATATATGATGAATCAGTGTATGTGTCTGCGGGGAGATATACACATAGAAAAAGAAGGACCAATAGACTTGTTTTAAGATCCTGTTCAATGACTAATAAAATGCCCCCTGAGAGTGCCTGGCATATAGAGCCACAGGCATGAAGGTCAAGTCCCTGCTAAGTAGACACTTAGGCTGAAGGGCCAGGGAACATAACTGGTTCAAGGAAGAGAAAACTCCAGCCCTGGCATGACGTCTGGATACAATGCAGTCCCTCTGAGTGAGATGGACTTACTGATGCTACAGATACAGAACTGACATTGCCCAGAGTCTTGGCTTCCCTTGGCTCATGCCCCAGGGGTGCCACAGAGCACTCGGGTCCTGGGCTTAGAGCCTGTGCTAAGGGGTGGAAGACTTGAGGCAGAGGAGTGCACTGCACTTGTAGCTGACGGTCTTAGTGGCCACCCATCAGTACCTGCCACAATTAATTCTTTGAGCACTGCAGACTCTCTTAGGGCTTGAAGAGCTTTCTGCTCAGTCAGATTTAGAATCTGAATAATCACGTTACAATCACAGAGCCAGGACAGCCAGGTTAACCCAAGTGCTCCTTGTTACTGTTCTACAAGGTGACAAGGCAAGTTCACGCTGATCGCAGAGTCCAGTGCAATGCGGTATCTGGACCAACTTGTTACAAGGTGGCCTTAAGGAGTCAGCCATGGAGGTGAGCTACCTAAAGACTCAGGTTCTCAAATCCTGCAGGAGACCTCTGTCCCCTACCCCCAGGGTCGTTCTCTAGCACCCACACATGGGTCAGGCTTTTGCTCGGTCCTGTTGGGCTAACACACTAGTGGCCTGTTGAAAGAGAAGGCCAGCAACTGCCATTTTCATTCTTTGGCCGTGTGCCTGGTGCTGTGAAGGCACTGTTCGTATAGCTCACACTGTCTGTGGACAGATCTTAGCCGTTGCTCTTGCTTCGCTGACAGAGAGCTCTCTAGGAGAGGCCGAGAAACTTGCCGAGGGCATGGAGACAGGACTTGCACTCGGGTCCCCAGGCTTGTACTCTGACTGCGATGGCACACTGCCTTGAGCTATCCCTTCGTAGTACCTCCACAGGTCATCCCTTGGATAAGCAACCCCTTGGGCTGGGGACCTGGGGTCTTCTATGTTCCTGCATCTTGATCTGTTCTCTGCTGTGGGGAAAGAGAGACCCACAAGCCAGCTGCGAGTGTCTGTGCTTTCATATGGAACCATCCCGCTTTGCGTTCATTGCTCTGCCCACCCTGCCGGCCCTGCCTGCCCTCTACTGCCACCAATGCCATCTTGGGTGTCTTTCTCCTTGAGTTCCTGGAGGCAGGAGCTGTGCCTTTAGAACAGGTGCTCATAACGTATCTGGCAAAAGCAAGCAGGAAAGAGCTGACTGAGGGCTCCCGGACAGCTGGAGCCTGTGAGGGCTTGCAAGGGTTTGGATGGAAACAGAAGGAACATTCCAGATGGGTGAGGGAGGCTGCAGCAGTGTTTGGAAGCATCTGAGGTGGGGAGTGTGGTGATCCATGGAGGAGAGCTGCCCGGGAGAGGCTGGAACTGAGATCTCATTTGGATGCAGAGGCATTCAGCCGTCTCCTTCCTGTTTCAGTTGCCTCCTCCTACACAAAAGGATGCTCTTATCTCCTGGAAACTTGGGTTGGTGTGAGTCCTGTGGGCTAAGCAGCATCGAGAAGCCTGGGAAGAGGCCATCTTGAGTCACTGGCCATTTTTTTTTTTTTTTATCTTCTGGGCCTAGAGCGTCAGGGATTGGGTAACCAAGCCTTAAGGATGAGTCACTGGGCATTTTGGGGTCACAGAGGTCACTGAGGAGTGTCCAGGGTAAGATGTCACTGGAGAAGTTGTGCCCATGCTGCTGGCTTACCCCGCATCCCACCCTTATCCTGCACCATGCAGACACAGGGACACAAAGAAAGCTGTGCACTTGCAGGCCCCAGATGCTCAAAGGAAAAAGAAAAGACCAGTAAAGCAGCACACCAAGCCTTTAAACTGCTTAACTGCTTCCACGGCGTCCAGGATTCTGTTCCCTGGGCTGATCCTACACAAAGCCAGTGCTTTGGAAGGCTCGGGTGCTCTGCTGTCTCGCTTGTCACCGCTTGTCACCACGTTCACATCACTCCACACACCGAATCCTTCTGTGGCTCAGCCCTGACCTGGGAGGAGTGCACAGAAGTTAACGCCTTCAGGGTGGGAGGGAGCTAAGCTGACCTCAAGAAAAGTCCCTTCTGGGAGTGTCTCAGACATGTGCCATGCCAGCTGTCTGTGTGCGCCATACTGAGCCAATACCATGCTGACCTGGTCATGTTCTGAGTCTCAGTGGGGAATGTGTCATGGTTCTTTGGGAACGTGGGACAGAGCTAGTCTGCCCTCTCTGGAAGGATGCATTACAGGCGTTAAGTTCTGACCTGCCAATGGCCTTTTCTTAGGAGCCCTTTCTTCTCTGTGGAGAAAAGGACATTGGCCTTCCTCCGCTCCCCGCCAGCGTCCCCCTGTGCTATGGAAGTCACCTTTTCCACAGAGCCCATCCAAAGCACTGACGTCACTTCTAAACATACCTTCTCCTTGCCAGCAGCAGTGTAGCCTTCACTGGCAGATGACCTTAGTTCATGTTCAAGGATCCCCCACCCCCACCCAGAGTGACAGGGTAACACTAGGACAAATAATAGGTGCAACAATAATACGTGCTAACATTTGTGGAATTTTACTGTTTGGAGAGACTGTTTCTCTCAACAGCTGAGCCCTTCTTAGCTTATGAGGAAACTGAGACTGACCCCTGAAGGCACTCACCGGGTGACACTTCTGGGAAGGGGTGAGGAGTCCTGAAGCCCACTGTAAACCACTTCTTTAGGTTTCATTCTGTGGGTGTCCTACGGACTGAGGAAGGGTGCGCCTTCACAAACCCTCGCTCTACAGCCTACTCAGGCCCACTCTTCCTCCTCTCTCCCCCAGCCAGCAATAGTAATGGTCTCTGTCCTTGACTGTCAAAGCTATAGCATACACAAATGGTACGGCACCGAGCAGAGGCTTTCCACCCCTTCTGCTGCACACTCTTCCTTCCCTGGCTGCAGCCTGGAGGTTGTCAGGTCTGTCTCCAGTCCTCATTCCTTGATTCATGTTCCTGAGATGAAGGGGTTAACTCCAGACTTGCTGGAGTCTATTGTTGTAATCCAGGATTATGATGGCTGCAGAGAAATCTCTCTCTCTCCCTTTGGTTTCCCTGGCTATGAGAGAGATAGTCTCCTAACCTGCCTCTCTGGAGGGGTGCTAAAGTCACTGCTAAACTTGTCCCCACTCCAAGAACCTGGCCTAGAGCAGAGGACAGAGGTGGTCACAGGCTCCCCTTGTCCTCAGGATGCAGGTGGTGTGAGGGTCAGAGACAAGGGCCTGAACACACCCATGGCTTTCTAGCTTCCCCCCAATAAGTCATTCTTTGGGTGGCCACTCCACAAGAGCCAGTCCTGTGGTCCAAATGGCCCCTAGGTGGGAATCCCAGGACCCCCACTCCACCATAGCCTGCCTGGCCAAAGACCCAGACTCACAGTGTGAGCCCTCTCTCTCCTGAAGTCTCATACTTACAGCTGGGAAACTGCTACCCTGGAGGAAAAGTAGTTGGCTGCCTTATTCCCACCCCCTGTCCCAGCGGTAACAGGCTACTGAAATTCAGGCTTTAAGATGCTAATAAATGCCGTTGGCTTGTAGGTGGCATTACCTGTGCCTGACTCTACACTGCCTGATTTTGCCAGGAAATTTCCAAAGGAATTGGAAGAACTGGATTGTGGGTTTTAGTTCATGCTAAGAAAGGTTGGATCTGGGCTATGTGCTCCTCTCTCTCTCTCTCTCTCTCTCTCTCTCTCTCTCTCTCTCTCTCTCTGTCATCCAAAGTCAGTTGGGAGAGTTTGAACCTATCTTTCTGGAGTGGTGGGTGACCTCTGGTGTGGTGTTAGGAGGTGGGCGATAGCAGGAACACACTTGGCATCCTACAGTGCTATGCCGGTTTGCTCCAGCGCGTGCGCACAAATATATGTATATGTATATGTATACGTATACGTATACGTATACGTATACGTATACGTATACGTATATGTATATGTATATACACACACACACATATACAGAGAGAGAGAGCGCCACCATCTCCAGGGTGCACAGTGATGGTGTCCTTGCTTTGCTGACCTTGGCTGCAGTCTGTGAAGGTGGCTGCCACTCTCCTCCCTGCTTGGCAAGTTGCTGCATAGATGCCTCCAGGCAGCCAGAGAGTCTGCCTTTCTAATCAGCGGAGAGACTAGCTTTGTCTGCCAGAGGAAAGCAGGGCAGTTGATGAAGGGAGGAGGGAGGTGGACAGCTGTTCCAAAAAGGAAACAGTGAGGCTAGAAATGGCTTAGAAACCTGGGGGCAAGGCTGATCTCGGTGGCAGCATCTGGCCAGCTGCCGAGGGTCCCTCCTGCCCGCCCACCAGGCCTTGTGACAAATACCCTCCGACAATCACAGAAGCCCAGCTGTCACCGGAAGGCTGCGAGCATGTCGGCTGGAAGCCAGAGGCCCACCGCTGCAGGGGCACCTCTGTGCGTGGTAACTTCATTATCTCTGCTGTTGGAACTGGAGCCCTCGGGAACACAGCTGCTCTCAGCTGTGGTTTGGGGAGCTGCCTGCTCTGGAAGCCATGTCAGGGGAGTCTTCTGCCAATGGAGGCCTCGTGGGGCAGCAGGCCTGGAGAAGTACTTCTGCATCACTGTGGTGAAGCCCTCCTTCCGAAGCCCTGCCTGGCCCTGCCAGAGCTCATGGCACAGATGGCGCCTTTATGCTAAAAGCCTTTCCCCCTCTGGCCCAAAGCAGTGTTCAAAACACACGACAAGAAGAAAACAAAAAGCCGTTATCTGCTCAGAGCCTGTTCAAGGTGTCCCGAGGAGCCCTTGTCTTGGAGGTCTTTGTCCACTCCTGTTCTAGGGATCCCTAGTACCTTCCTGAGATCAGGGTGTGTCCTATGTAGCATGTGGAGGGATTTGGGAGTACGCCAGGTGTGAGATCTAAGCCTTACCGAGCCTTTGGCTAAGTTCTCTTTCTGGGGCCTCCCTATGAGCAGAGTCAAGCATATGTGACCGTGTGGATGCTGGAGTCACATCAAAGCCTGTCTGACCTCAGCCACAGACATCCTTGCCCACCCTGGCACCCACGGAGGAGGAAGGTGTGGAATGAGCTGGGAGCGACGGGGTTGGCTGTCGTCTGCATCACTGCCCGGCTCTCAGTTGATGTTCGACCTTGAGCGATGTGTCCACATTCCTCTCCAATCCCGACACCCTCATCTGTCAGGCGCGGGGAACACCTGCCCTTGTCCAGCCTGGCTGTGAAGAGCAAACTCTGCAGAGAAAGCCGTCTTGTCATGGGGGAAGCGTGGGCTGTCCTTACTTCCATAAGCCAGGTGTCACTGTCTGAGATACAGCTTTGGAAAGGGGTGCCTGTCATTTCTACAGCTGTGGACTGACCAGGGAGGCAATGCATCTGGTTAGTAGTTCAGCACCAGAGGACCCTTATTATGATGAAAGTCAGCCATATGCTGGCTTGGTTTGAGTCCAGCTTAATTTCTCTCCACCCCGACTCTAGGAGCCTCGACTCGACTCCTGAAAGGTGTGGATTAAGACTATGACAAAACAACACAGGATTTATAAAATGTTATCTCCCAAAGGACTGAGGCTGTCACAGGCAGTGCCTTGGCCCTATGTCTGACATAGGAGCTGGGGACAGTGCTGCGTGGGCTCCAGTGGATGCCCGTGTAGTGCTGTGAGACAGAAGGAGACAGGGAGGCCACGCGTGGAAAGACCATCTGTCTGGGCACAGGCCCAGATGCATAACCTCGGGACTTTCTTTTTCCCTCTTCCTCAAAGCTCCTGCTTCTGCCCAGGGAGGAAAGATAGAATAGTCAGACTCCCATGCCCGTTTTCCAGCCCCTGAGCAGATGTCCAAGGTCAAGTTCTCTTCTGTCTGCGCTCAGGGTGTTTCCCAGGCCTCAGGGTTGGGTGTGGGGTGGGATGAGAAGACAGTGAGGAGGAGGGAGCCTTGTGCATGAGTTAGAAGAGGAAGGCTGGCTATAGAAGGCTTTTCCTGTCAGAGTTGCGGCTTGATACCATTAAAGCCTCCTAAGCTGTGTTATTTTCTTTTAATCTTCCACTGTCCATCCTGGCCTGGGCTACCCTGCAGGACCTTTGTTCCCAAGCTGGAGCCTATGTTGAGTGCCAAGCATGAGGAAGCCAAACATCTGCTTCGGCGTGCTCGCCTGAAGGCCAAGACCCAACCTCTCCGAGCCAGCCACGATATTGTGCCCACCATTGCTCAGGGCAGCCGGTGAGTGGGGCTTAAGCCAGGCTGGCCTGGGAGGGCTTGTGGTAGGGAAGGGTCAGTAGCACAGATAGCTGAAATATGGCCAAAATACCTCTGTTCTCTCCTGTGTGTGTGGTGTGTGTGTGTGTGTGCTGAGCACTTGCTGTGGTCATTTAGTCAGTCAGCACACCATTACTCAGTAGAGTGCCATATGTTGAGATATAAAGGTAAATAAAATGTGTGATCTGCGCCCTCTGGGTCGTAGAGATCAGTCTCCAGGGAGAGAGACAGCCAAACACCTAGTCAGTTCTGTGGGTTATAGTGGAAGAGAGAAAGCATGTGTGCAGAGTTGGCACTGTGTCACTCCACCTGGAAGGGACAAATGAGGCTCTCAAGAGGAGGTAGATTCCCAGATGGGGTTTACAGGAGCTGCATAAATGTTCACTGGACAGATTTGGGGAGGAATCTGTGAGAGGAAGCACTGTGCTCCAGAACCCAGCCAGCTTGGAAGAGAGAAATCTATGAGGTAAAGGCTAGAGAGCTTCCTAGAGGCCAGCCATGGAGGAGCTCCAGACCTACTGAACAACAGCTCCTAAGCTCCTGCGCTGGGACCACTGAGATGGATAAACAGGTAGTTAAACAGCTAGATAACAAGATATCGTGGCAGCAGCGACCTTTCTACAGTGCCCTTCTGGCTGTGCGCAGTGGAATCTGACAGATGAGAAAGACTGTAACTATGGTCCTCATGGAAGGTTCAAGAAAACAAGCATGGTGACTTCCCAGAGATGCCCAAAAGAACCAAGCTGGCTCACCAGGCAGTGGACAAGCACTACCCTTGTTGAAATCTGGCCCTATCAATGGTTAGTGTGTGCCTTGGGGAGGTCTCTGAAGTGTTAGTGATCATTTTCCAGGGTGTGAGGTTATATGAACTGATGTACAAAAGGCCCATTTGGTGTACTAAGTGCTGGGGACACAGGGACTGCCAGCTCCAGGTCCCCAGCACCTGATTAATCAGCTTTGAGGGCAGGAGAAGAGAAGGCATTCAAGACAGAGCCCAGAGTTCTGACTTGTATCCGAGTGTTCGTGGGCCTCTAGCCAAGAGCAATGCCTAGGTTCAGGGCTGGGCTTTAGAGGGGAGATGTTCACTGAACCACTGGATACAGGATCATCAGAGGTGAGGCCAGAACTGGAGATGTGGGTACTGTGGTGAATTAATCCTGCTGGAGCTGCAAGGGTAAGTGCAGCCAGCGTGAAGAGACTGAAGAGAGGAGGGTCCGGAAGTCTTGGACTAGCACGTCATTCTGACTGCCCAAGCCACATGCCTGTTCCCAGCATTGTGCTTGTTCTTTTTATGGTACACCTTACAGAGCTACTCACTCATGGCATTCTCCCACACACAAATGCAGCCACTAGTCATGCTAGTCTGAGCTGTCAGGCCATGCCAGATCTTGCCAGGCCCAAGCAGGCCCACCTCTGCAAATGGCAAAGCTTATGGCTTCATAGTATGGTGGGCATTTTGAATCTGTTTGTCTTCTTCATCACTATGCTTAGCAAAACCAAGTTATGTGCTCTTTGACGGGGGATACTGAACCGGCTCACTGAAGTCTCAGGACATTCACAGGACCACTGCCACGACTCCGTTACAAGCAGAGCCTCTCTATTCAATGTCACTGTGACCCTTACAACTGGGGCACAAGAGACCCCAAATCCCAGTAAATGTGCCTTTCAGGTTATCCTTTCCACATGTGTCCTTGTCTCCCTCTAACTATAGAGGGCTCACTGGAACAGTGGCTTCTTTGAGGTATCCTTGTTTTCCATATATCCAGAGAGATGTCTTAGCCGCCCAAGCACTCCTGCCCAGTTTTCTGTGGAATTACACTGGAGTGGTGGAGTAGTGAGGCACACATAGGCAAGGTTCTGCAAAGCAGACTCAGTGTGCTTTGTCCTCTTGGACACTTCCTTCTCTAGTTCATTCCAGCTAGTCTTAACACCCCAGTAGCTATTGTGAAGTAGCTTCCCTCTTTCTTGGCTATAAAAATGCTATAAAAATGCAAGGTGACCTACTTCAGCAGCTGCCGTGTCCAGAAAAGAATTACTATGACTTGGCAGCGCTGGTGAGTCCTCAGAGGGTAGAGCTGAAAAATCTGCACCAGATGGCTTGCTGCAGCTGCTTCCAAAGGTTACGCTCTGTCGGCTCACCCTGGAGGGCAGGCAGAGTTTACATGGTGATGCCATGCAGGCCCCAGGCCTCAGCTAGAAGCAGGAGGTCCTGCCTTCAGCCCCTCCTTATCACTCCTTCCAAAGAACAGCTTGGCAAAAGATGAGGGAGGAAGGGCAGGCAGAGCAATCTGTAGAAGGCTCTCTTCAGCCTAGGCTTACCTAGAGGCAGCCAGGAGAGCCTGGATCCTGGCCTTTCCCAGGAGGGAGAGGTGGAAACAGATGTGCTGTCCGGAAACCAATTCAAATAGCAATCCAGCAGCTCCTGGAAGTGTAAGCGGCCGCCACTGGGGGGGGGGGCGGTGGGGGGGAAGGCAGGCTCAGGTTGGTATTCTTAATCCTGAGAGCATACCCTGGAGAGGTTTGTCCCGTGTGACCAGAGGCTGTGTGTGACTGTGGAGCTTGCAAACAGCAAAACCATTGTATGTCTAGGATAGCACTGCCATGGAGCTCGTGGGAAGGGATTCTCCTCCCAAAGGCCATGCAACTTCATCACTGCAGCGGAGGCTCTGAGCTCAGCTAGAATCCTGTCCTCCAGGGGCTTCGCCTTGAGAGGCAAAGCAGCTCTGGACTTTGCTTTTGGCTTCACTGCCTCAAATGCACGTCTCCCGAGGCCTCTCCCTGCTTTTCTGTGCCTGTGTCTGTGTGGCTGCCCGGGGCTTGGAGTCTGAATAATTGCATTGAAGACTTTCACGATTAGATCTTTATTTTATTCTCATTATGATGATGAAGTAGGTTTTGTGGGATTTTTGTCTTGTTTTATTTTGTTCTTGAGACAGGATCTCACTGTGTGGTCCTAGCTGGCCTGGCTCCCTGTGTAGACGAGGATGGTCTTGAATTCACAGACATTCACATCTGTCTCTGCCTCCCAAGTGCTGGAATCAAAGGTGTACACCACCATGCCCATCAGTGTCTTGTTTCTGAGACAGGATCTCACTCTGTAGCCTAGACTTTCTTGAACTCAGAATCCTCCTGTCTCAGCCTCTTGAATGCTAAGGTTGGGAATATGTATCACCAGACCCAGCTTTTGTTTTTCCTTTTATAATAAAAATAACATTTCTCTCTTTGAAATGAATTCTGAAATGGCTCAGTTTTTCATCTGTGTATAAATTTAAGGCTATGGCTGGAGCTCATGGAACACAGACTAGTACTGTATTACCCTGAGAACAGACTTATTTTTTCTTTACCAGAACTTACACCCCACTTCACTCCAGCAAAGCAGGCCCTGGATCCCAGGAGGTAGAAGGGGTGGTTCTGAGCCAGGCACAGAATCTCCAGTGAGCTATGCTTGTGTTGTACAGACCTGGCTGCCCAGCTTGTCCCACCTCTGTGCTGATGAGATAGCACGTGTTTGCTGTTGTTCAGAACTTTCCTTCCAACGCTGACATCTGACTCTGTGATAGCCAGGTGTTCAGAGCAGGGACACATCATCAAGGGGTATTTATTCCGAGTTCTCCAGGGAAGCATAACCATCAGGATGTGTCTGTATATAAAGAGGCTCACTTTAAGAGTTGGCTCCCAGACATGTAGAATTCTGGCAAATCCCAAACTCGCAGGACAGGCCAGCAGTTCACTGTCAAAGTCAGCTTGCAGGCAGAATCCCTTATTGCTCCAGGGAGCTCAGAGGTCAGCCTTGGTTTTCCTCAGGCCTTCAACTGCTAGATGAAGTCTATCAGATGATGGAAGGTAACCTGTTAAAACGGGTGCTTGTCAAGCCCATTATCTAAGCTGAGGCAGCTCTGCCTAGCTCAGCCACCATGTTCCGCAGCCAGAGGCCATGTGCGCCAAAGCTAGAAACGGCCAGCAAGAAACACCAGTCCTGCCACCCATGAGATGCCAGCATGGGAGATGGCTCTGCCAATCTTCCACGCTGTCTCCGCAAGGCTGGGGATTGCCCAGACCATCCCGCCATGCACGCGGTACCCGGTATGAAAATGAGATTCTAATGCTTAAATATTAATCAAATGCTTTATATGTTTGGTAATCCTCAATAACAATATGCCCATACAATTAGAGTTGTTTCCCAATTAGCTAACCTAAATATAAGTTGTTACCCAGGACTGCTCTCCATACCTGCGTGGCTCTTCATCCTCCTATATCTCTGCCCTCTCTAGCTCCTCCTCTTCCTTTTCCTCTTCCCCTCCTTATTCCTCCTACTTTAGCTCCTCCTACAGCAACCTGCTTCATCCAAAAATCTGTCAGGTTAAAAGTCCTCTGCAGTAACATCCAGAATAATGTTTGAGCAAGTATCTAGGTGCTGGGGCCTACCGAGTTGACATTAGATTAGCCGTTGTGTTAGCAGCCATGGGAGATGCTGCCTGTACTTGGAACAATCTGAGGACTCAGAGCTCTCTGCTCAGGTTCAGCCAAGCTCTTGACTTCCTCGGTAGAGAAGGATTTTAGGATGAACCTTTGTGGGGCAAAGTGGAGTGTATTAATCAAAGGCAGTCACGTGCTCAAAGAGACAGATTTGAGTGTCGCATTGAGAGAGGCACATATTTAATTACCCCATCAGTAGTTAGGTGTGTGATTTTGTGGCCTTTGGAGTTACAAAGGATGGGAGCCAAAGCTGGAGAGGAATAGGGAACATTGGAGGCCTTGCATGTTTATCCCAAAGTCTGTCGCTATGCCCTGTTGGTGGGTATTGTGATGCCAGCTGTACTCCATGAGGGACCAAGTCAGGAGGGAAACAGGATAAGGGGCCACTGCGCCAGGATAGAGTGATGTAAGTCAGTCCCAAAGACAGTCCATGGATCAGTGGGGAAAGGTCCAGAGGGAAAAGGAAGAAGTGTGGGCCTTGGATCTGGGCCCATTTGCCTAACTCTGTTACCTGGCTGCTGGGGTCCTGAGATGGAATTTGTGTGCAGCTGAGCAGGATGTGGCCACCAGCTAGTGCTTTCCAGAGCTAAAGCTAAAACAGATCTGAAGACTCCCCAGCACAGCAGTGTACATCCGAAGGCAGACGTGGGTGTGTGAGGTGGGACTAGGGCAGGAGCTCTGCAGTTGTCTTAGGAGAGGCACCAGGGTCTGCTGATGTGCAGAACATCCCAGCAAGGCCTGAGGGATCCTGAGTGGGAACCTCAGGTCAGGGATGCTTCAAGTCCCAGACTTCCAGGTCCACAGAATACCCACGGGGACTTCTTCCCACAGAGGCTTTGCAGCACTTAAAACTGGTCCTCAGTGTTCACAGGGGGCTGGTTCTAAGCCCCCTTGGATACCAGAGCCCACAAATGGTCAAGCTGTTGACATAAATGAGTGTAGCTTTTGCACCTCGATTAGCCACATCCTCCTGTGCACCTTAAACATCCCTAGATTACCCACACCCCTTCATGTGACAGAAGTGCCTTGCAGTGGTAGCTACTTCATAGTATTTAGGGCCTCCCTTCTATTTCGTACTGTTCAGTGGTTCTCAACCTGTGGGCCACAGCCCTTTAGGGATTGAATGACCCTTTCACAGGGGTCACATATCAGATATCCTGCATATCATTACATTACTATTCATAACAGTAGCACAATTACAGTTATAAAATGGTAATAAAACAATTTTGTGGCTGGGGGTCACCACACCATGAGGAACTGTACTAAAGGGTTGGAGCATTAGGAAGGTTGAGAACCACTGCTTTTAAGGGATGGCAAGGAGAATAAGGTCCCTACATGTTCTGTATAGATACACAGATATGGGGTTTTATTTTCAAATATTTTTATTATGTCATTGGTTGAATCCCCATATGGAGAGCTCCTCACACAGAACTGACTGTACGTGTTTCTGCAGTCCATCACTGCCAAGTGAGACCATTTCCTCACCCTGCACTCACATATGTGCGTGCGCGCACACACACACACACACACACACACACACAGAGTGTACATAAAGTCTGCCATGCCATCTTTCTTCTGCACAGTCCCTAGTTTAGTAGCTTTTCTTGTTAACTCATGCTGAGCCCAGCAGTGGAGACCAAGTTAAAAATAAACCTGTAACAGTTTTGTTGAGCAGTGTGTACTATGGTGTTTTGAGTTGTGCTCATCTTGCAGGACTTGGGGCTTGTCACATGTCTTCCTAGCAGGCTGACTGGGGGTAACCTTGTGGATTGTCAGTACCACCGAGCACTATGGGAGAGAGTGCCCCAGAGGGGTGAGGCCTGGGCCAGAGCACATCCAGGGCAGTGCTGATCACCCTGTCCCCCTTCCTGCATGTGACTCCTCTCCTGTCTGTTCACTAGAAATGGCCAGAGAAGCCCAGCCCCGGATGTGAGGACCACCTCTGCCTACAGAGAAAGCCTCCAGAATGGGAACTTGAATGACCCCTCCAGTGTAGAGCCCAGCAATGGGCAGTGGCCCAAGCAAGGAATGCCCCTGTCTCATGTCCGTTTTGAAGATGAGTCTGCCCACGAGGCTGAGTTCCGGTACCTGGACCGACTTCAGCAGCGCCAGCGTCAAGTGCTAAGTACAGTGCTACAGGCTGTGGACCAAGGACCTCTGCGCTCCAAACCAGACCTAACCAGCTACGTTAACCGCAGCGTAGAGAACAGCTCATTTCATAGGGCTGGGGGCTGCCTGGACCACAATAACTTCCCTGCACCACCAACATGGGACAATGAGAGGAAGTGTCCAGCCTGTGGCAGCTGTCTCTCGGAGCATCACCCTGCTGAGGGGAGGGCAGCCTCTGACCTGAGGGTCCTCCGGAGTCTCCAGGCTGCCTGTGAGGCAGAGGCAGTACTGCTGGGGCCCTGCAATTCCCATGGCTTGAGCTCCCCATTCTCAGGGCTCCACACAGAATGGATCCAGGAAACACACATCACAGACACTGTTGCCACACACCCTGAGGAGGAGGACTCTGCCCTGGACAGCACCCACAGTTCAGACAGCTGGACAGACAGTAACGATGCCAGGACCTCTCAGCCCAGCAGGGCAGGTGAGCAGATCCAAATCAGCAGCCCCCAGCAGTGGCAGCATGGGTCTAGGACCCAGCGAGGTCCCCAGTGGTTCAGAAAGGCTGAGACAGAGCTGCCCTGCGGACTTCAGGCCTGGTCTCGCCTGCCCGAGCTTGATGATGTAGTTGTAGGAGGGGAGGTAAGAGAAGCCAGTGGACACATACCTCAGGGGACTTTGTTTCTAGAGGAAGATGCTGTGCCTAAACCTGCCTTGGAACCTAAGAGGCCTTGGTCCCAGGGGCAGCTTGGACCACAGTTAGGAAGTCACTGGGCCCACCCTGAGGACTGCAGGACTCCATGCAGGACAGCTTATGCTGTGTCATTTTCCAAGAAGTGTGGGTCCCCAGGATCAGGCCAACCAGATCAAGTTCCTGAAAGCCAGGAGTCTTTGGAATCTCTCTGCACCTCTCCCCTCCATCGGAGCCATGAAGAGCCCTCCGCACCCCTCCCAGCCTTACAGCCAAATTTGCCCCTCACCCCTGAAGTGCCAACTCCTCCTTCTTCAAGGAAATCCCTCTGCCCTGTGCCTCCAAGGACATCAGTCCAGAAGGGACATCACAGGCAGCAACACCAGGTGGAGCATGTGGATAGCCCCCTGCCTCTGTCCCCTCCAAGAACTGTGGTTCTCACCCGACCCCAGCCCCAGCCCTGTAGCCCCCAAGTTAAGCATCCACTGCTGGACCTGCCCAACAACAACTACAACAGCAGTGCCCCTCTAGGGCTGCAGGGGCTCTCCGGAGCGGCTGTCCACAGGAGTAGATCTGAAAAGGACCACTGTTGTCAGGAGCCTGCGCTGCTTCTGGAGAGCAATGGAGACGGTAAGGATTGCTATCATTTGCTCTCCAACTTAATCACCTTAGGATAAGGCCCATGCCACTCCCTTATGGGTCCCTCAGAGCCCCAGCAGGAGGCAGGGGAGCATGGGCCAAGCGCAGAATTAGGAAGAGCATGGAGCAAGTTAGCCAGTTTTCTATGTTTGGGGGAAGGGGAGCAGGGGCTTGGACCTCAGTGAAGATGGAGCCCTCTTTCTGTTGGGAACTCTGAGGTATGTAGGGAAGCTCCAGTCCACAGCGGCTGGAGGCCAGGCTTTGTGGGAATTTGACTCTTGTAAACCATGAGGAATCCACTGTTGTTTAGAAGAGTCACCCGACAGTCACCACCTCTTCCACCATCTTTCTTCTGTGCCTTGCACTGTTTTGTTCACTATTGATCAGGCACCTGGTACAAGCTTGAACCTGTCTTGGGCACTGTGGGGAATGCATAAAATTACTCAAGCAGGTTCCCTGCCCTTAAGGCTTTCTGTGGTCACACGTGTGTGTGGGATGCAGTGACCAGCAGGGGGAGTGCTACAGCAAGCTGCGGCTCTGAGCCCTCCCGGGCCCTGGCTGCCTGACCTGCTGGTAGATTCTGATGGGCAGGGCTGCCAATGCTCCTTGCCCTTGGGAGGAGGAGTCATGCTGTGGGCAGATCTGTGTGTTTGCAGACCCAGGCTCCGATCCCCACTGCTGTAACCCCAGCGGACAGCAGTGAAGATGCCGAGACAAAGCCTCTCTCCCTGAGGTTCTGCCTCCACTCCTCTCCCGCCCTCCACACCCTGCTCAGCTGTGGCTCCCTCTCTTGTGTGGGCTCCAGGCTGGTGGCTGGTGTGAACCTAGCCACTTCCTGCAGACCTTCTGAGACCCAGTGACCTTTCTGGGAACCCTGGGTCTACACCTCCTTGAGAACTTAGTGCGGATTCTCTTGCTAGTGACAGGGCCCCTGGGTGACCACTTCCTCTCTCCACACTCATGTTTTCTAGTCTAGACAAGGAGGGTTAAGATGCACCCTGTCTGGTGGGAACCACAAGGGCAAGTCTGTGAAGGGTTCAGTCACCCTTCATATCACTGAGTACACGCAATGGTCCCAAGATGAAAGCTACAGTAAAGCTGAGACAGTTTTAGATTGTTCCCCAGTTCTTGACTGCGTCCCTTGACACGGAATGGGCATGGCCTATCACAAGTAACTTGCCACTTAAATACTTATTAGATGCTCTGCTGGGTGATGGTGTGACAGTAGTCCATAGGACCCCACCCTCATCCTCAAAATTTCCAGTTTAGAAGATGCTCAAGGATGGGCCCTGGCCACCTTCACCAACTGCTTCCTGGGGCTTCTACTGCTTCTGCTACTATGTCTCCCACCTCTCCCCAGAGACTCCTGCCCCTCGGGCTGGGAAATGGGCCTTTCCCCCTGGGAACTGTGGGGACAGTCATGTAGCTGTAGTGGTGCTGTGGCTGTTACAGGAACACTCCAGGACTCTCTGCTGTCAGTGGATGTCGCCACTGTCCATTCTACAGCCATCACCCTCTCCCTCAACTCAGAGGAGCCTGAGCAAAGCCAGGAGCTGGAAGGAGGACCACAAAGGACGCAATCCAGCTCTGGAGGCCACATACCCACTGGGTGAGTAGCAGGAGCAAGCCTCGACTACATAGGGCCTGCTAGATGGGACATACCACCTGGAGCAGAAGCATCTCTAGCCTTCCTCTTCCAAACCCAGAAGGGTTCCTAGACCACATCCTGGTGCCCTAAACCACCCTTCCTAATCTTGTGGTGTGTGTGTGTCTGTGTGTGTGTGTTGTATATATGTATTCATGGGGGTAGGGAGTACACATGTGTCTGGGGACACATGGATATATATATATGCCAGATGTTAACATTGGGGAATCTTAGTTGCTCCACACCTTGTGTTTGAACCCCAAACCCACTTGTCTCTGCCTCCCAGAACTGGGGTTATAGATGTGATCTGCCATGGCCTGGCTTTTAGATGGGTACTGGGTATCTGACTTATATGCCAGGCACTTTACCTACTCCCAACCCCACCGTTTCTAGTTCTCTTTATCTGACGTACCTCACTGAGGCACTGAGTCGTCTGCCCACCCTTGAGCCCCAGTTACAAATGATACAGCTGAGAGCCACAGCCCTCAAGGTGCTCCCAGGATGCAAACTGATTACCTTCTTTGCTTCAGCTGATGCCTAACCATCTGAGGCCTTGCCTTAGGACGTCCTTGGACCATGTTCAGAGCCCAGGGAAACCTGGTACTTGTAAGGGCTTTCCCAGCCCAGACCGTACCCTGTGACCACATGGCAGTGCACAGGCTCCCTATGGCCCAGACAGGGCTGGATGCTTGCCAGAATGCTCGGTCTGTCTGGCCAGTTCCTCCTGGACATCTCTCCCACGTATCTAGCTGCCCCCTCAATAAAAACTCCGGTTGCTTTTCCCACGAGCCCTTCCCAGCAGCCATGCTGCTGTCTCCACAGCTTAGACCCCGAATCTGCCTCCCCCTGCCCTTCCCCACTTTACCCACCGGCAGCCCTCCCAGCCCCCAACCCCTCTCTCTACCATCTGGCCTAAGCTGCCTCACTTCTTAGCTGCATGAGGGAATATTTTTTTAAAACCCAATTAAATGGTATCATTGTCCTACTTAAAGCCCCACAATCGTCTCTTCTCCTCTTCCCGAGGCTGACAGTGCTTGGCGTGGTGGGACCTGCCTGCCTGCCTGCCTGCTTGGCACACCTCTTCCCGCTTCCCTCCCTCCCTGGCTGCTGTCGTTGAACACATCAAACTTGTTTCTGCTCAGACAGAAGTTCCAGCTGTTCTGTGCACCTGCAGCTCTCACTTCCGGCTTAATGGCCTGATTCCTTCCTGTCATCGGCCCTTGGTAGAAAGATTGTTTTCTGCCAAAGACATCTCCCCTGGAAACTATTTAAAATAAGTATCTACTCACACACTGCTTCCCCCTACACATCGCTGTGAATGGCTTCTCCTCTCCGTGTGGTCTGTTGTTAAGCTTCTATACCCCTTAGCTGAGGGCAGACAGATAGGAGGCTTGTGAGACATCTGGAAGAGTGGAGTGAATGAACTGTGACCCCCAGCTGTGTGCTATGGCAGGGGCTATCCTGGACTGTTCTTCCCGAAGCTACTTTCACGGGGCACCTGGCAGAGTCTGCGTGGCCCTCCTTGCTCCAGCCTGATTGTTAGATCCTCCCCAAGGACATGGGTACTGGTACATTTGGAGCTTGTGGAATCCTAAGATGCAGGATAGGATACAGCCAGCTCTTGCCTTCCTAGAAGCTTTCTCCAGTCATACCCTCCCCCTCCCTTTATGTTTCAGAGCATCACATGAAGCCAGTCTTGAGGCCAGTGCAGGGTACAAGCCACCCTCAGATGCCCATTCTGATGGGAACAAGAAAAGGAGGGGTAGTATTACCTCCACCCTGGGGCTCAGAAAGCTTTTCTCAGCCCTGGGCCACAGTCCCCGGCCCAGACTTGGCCCATCCCGAAGCTACAGCGTGGAACAGCTCCAGCCCTCAGCACTGGCTCCACAGACCAGCACCTCCAAAGTGAAAAGAGCCCCGTCCTTACAGATCCTGCATCTGGTGAGTCCCAGGGCCCTGGACAATAGGCTGTGGTCCCAGTGGTGCGGTCTAACGGAGTGAAGGGGGGCAGTCCAAGTCACAGAAGTGGGGAGCAGCTAGCGTCCTCACAACTGGCTCAGGAGGCTTGTGCTTACTGTGTGTGAGCACCCCTTAATTCTTTTTGTCCACCCACGACCTACTCTCCTCCTCCTCTCTCCCTTGTTGCCTGTTTCCTGGAGAGTTCGTGCCCTGATCATTCTTTAACCTACTCCTTGACCACAGTGACGCGTTAGTCCAGATGCGCTTTCTTTTCTCTCTTTGTTTCTTTGTTTCCTTCCTTCTTTCCTCCTTCCCTTCTTTCCTTCTTTTCTTTCTAAAAAGGAGTAGTGTGTGTCTGTGTGTGTGTGTGTTTTGCTTTCATATATGTCTGTGCATCTTGTGCATGCTCACAGAAGCCAGAGGAGGGCATCGGATTCCCCTAGGACCGGGGTTATAAGCAGGTATATGGGTACTGGATATTGAACCTGGGTCCTCTGGAAGAGCAGCCAGTGCTCTTAACTGCCTAGCCATCTCTCCAATGCCCTAATAATTCCTATCTGTGATGTCACAGCAAGCCTCGACTGGCCTCTTTGTCCTGGTCTTTCTCCATGTGGCCTCCATGGTGGTTTTTCTGAGGATGCACAAACCTGGCCATACAACTGTGCCTTGCCGGGAATGCATCCATCTTTAGACATTTATCATGGTCAGGATAAAGTTGAGACCAGCAGTGTTGTGAGGGGATTCACAGTCTGCTGTTTTTACATCTCCTCACTCTCCCAGAACACTCCCGGCCTCTCCTGAGTAGACGCTTTTGTGCCTACAGTCAGATCACACAGTCTGACTGAACCTGCACCTGACTGCTTCTACTGTCCCTACCTCCTGTCTATTCGTTCCGCGGTACTCAAGGTGTGGCTCCTTCAGAAGTCACCACAGTCCTTAGGCTGAGGGGCACCTGCTGTTTGCCTTCTCACACAGCACTTCCATGTCCATGTCTCTCTCCCCTCACTGGAATATGTCTATACCCCAATACTGTCTCAGTAGCTAGTGTACCCAGTGGATACAAGGCACTAGCTAAACTTCCCCCTCTCCTTTAGCAAATCACCTCGGCACACTCACTTCTACCAGGCCTCTGGGACTCCTGCTCTGTGCTAGGAGCTTGGAGCTTTTCTGTTCTCTACCACCACTCCTAATGCTGTGACCCTTTAATACAGTTCCTCACGTTATGGTCACTCCCAATCATAAAATTATTTTTGCTACTGTTATAATGTAAATGTTGATGTAAAAATATGCAGGGTATCTGATATGTGACCCCTGTGAAAAGGCTGTTCAACCCTCCAGAGGCCTCAACCCAGGGGGTGGGAAGTGCTGCTCTAAGGCATTGGAGCCTTTCATTTCCAAGGCTGAGGAGGGGAGAGAACACGGGGTAAATGGCAGTCTTGCTAGGCGCCCAGGTGTGCTGACCAAAGCTTGCACCACACACCATTGTTTTCTTGGAGTGACCTCAGGTTTATGGTTCCCAGCAAATCCTCTGTGGAGACCCTTTCCCAGGCAGGTTTTCTCACCTGTAATACTGAGCTTTCACCACTAGGTGTCACCCTCCCATCAGCATCGGAAAGCAGCTTCCTTTCAGAACCTCCATTCTCTGCTAGGTGGCAAAGGAGATCGGTCCAGCCTCTACCTGGTAGAGGGGTCAGAGGACAGCACTACACCCAGCAGGTAAGCGTGGCACAAGTGACCCAAAGAATAAACTCAGAGTGGCACCACAGCCCTGAGCCCGTTTGTCTTTCTAAGAGGAAGTGGAGCAGAGTAACCGAATCTTGCCCTTCACCAATCTCCAATGTGGAGAGACGGAGCGACACAGACATCTCAGAATGACACCCCTGTGCCCTTGCCATGTGTGGTGAGCACCAAGAGGCACAGGCTTGAAGCCTCTCTCCCTTGGCTGTCCAATGACACCCTGAAATCAGCGTTCAGAATTTAACACTAAACACCCAGACAAGAACCCCCAAAGAAGCTCTTGTTCCTGGCCCAGGTCCTCATGGCAATCTGCTTTTACTCAGGGCTTCATGGAAGGATGTTGTGGGGGAAGGGCTCCTGAAAACTTTATATAAAATGATAGCTTTCCTCAGATTCTCAGAGGTCTCTTTCTAAACATGTTAGAGACCACTGTCCTTGCTTTAAGGTTCTCTGGCCTGAGGAGCCGCCAGCAGACGTGGAAACTGCCTGTCTCCACCCTAGGGAGCTTATTTTGCTGGCTTGGGTCAGAGAAACCAGCCCCTAGTGTCAGATTCCTACCTCAGAGATGCAGGTCACCTTAGGGCCAAGAAAAAACTGGCTGTGTTACCTAACCCCACTGTTACTGTCTTTGGTCTCCTTGCAGGCCAGCCAAGGCCTTTCCGCATCGTGCCCTCAGTGTGGAAGATGTGGGTGCCCCTAGCCTGGCTCGGACTGTGGGCCGCGTGGTGGAGGTGTTCCCAGATGGCACAAGCCAGCTGCAGCTGCAGCGACCCCCAAACGGCACCTTTGGTTTCTGTGTGGCCTATGGCAGTGGCCGTAGAGACTCAGGTATGAGCCTTAGCAAAATACCTGGAGTATGGTCAAGTGCCTTCTAGGCTTTGGTTGGGCAATGGAGAAAAGCTCCCCTCGTCCCTCCAGAAGCTCTTCCTGGGTGCCAGGTCCCAGGAGCCCCCACTGCTGAGGGGGTGGAGCTGACAGATTAGACTCCACTGTCCCCCTGCTGTCCTGTGACATCTTGAAACCAGAGCCATTAAGGCTCTTCCAGAGGGGCAGAGGAACTGTCTGTGCTTGCCAGCTCTCAGCTATTCCTTTGATGTGGTTGATGTATTGTAACCGTCTGTCCTCCAGCTGCTGGTGTGTCTGGGCTTGCGGAGTGGGCCTGCCTGTCTGCAGTCCTGTCCACAGCCCTCCCTCACAGATCCTAGAGGCTTTGTTCAGGTGGATGTTGGCTCCAGGTGCCTGGCTGGGTTGCCTACTAGATCCTAATTCAATAACACTAACACTACATTCTGACCAGTTCTTGATCCCTCTGCATCCAGGCATCCTTCGTGGCAACTTGACTTGCCCAGGCCTAAGCCCATGGTCCAGAATGCGTTTGAGTACAAGAACCTATGAAAGCTACCTCCAGGCTAGGCTAAGCTGGGGGAGAGTGGACAGAGGAGGGAGGGATGACTTGGAAAGACTAGCCCAGGAGCCTGTGCTGCCTGGCCCTGCAGAGGAGAGATATTCTGCTCTCCTGTCTCCTAGGCCAAGGCTGTTTGACTAGGAAAGCCCTCCTGCTGCCATGTCTGCTGTGTCTGCAGCACAGTGTGTGTGCTAGCTCCTGTCCTGTTGTTGATCACTCGGCATCTGTCAGTTAATATGTATGTCAGGTGCCTGCTAATAAGTATCGTGGATACTGGGGTTACAGCCCAGCATGGAGCACACAGACCTCAGAACTCAGAGTGTGCACTCCAGCAAGGGTGCTAGGCCAGATCTACATGTTTACTTCATATGTTTCATATTATAAACATGGCATAGTGAAATAGACCAAGAAGCAAATATAAATAACACAGGCATGGCCAGTACTGGGACGACAGGCTTGAGATGACGCTTGATGGAGATAGGACAGAAGGGCGGGGGCCATGTGAAGTCAGGAGATGAGTCAGGAGGAGGGGTTACCAAGTGCAAAGGACCATGGACCTTGCTGTTAGGGAAACAAGGAGATCAGGCTGGGAGCCCACTCAGAGAGGCTGCAGGCTGTCCTGTCCCAAGGGACCTGGAGTTTTCTCACCGAGTGGGATAGGAACCATCTACTGGAAGAGATTTTAAAACAGAGGGGTGATACCTAGCTATGCTGTGAATGGGACAGGGAAGGGCCTTAAACTGATTTCCAGAGTCCAGGAGACAGATCAAATAGCAGGTGCTATTTGATTTGGTGCTAGGGTGGCCATGGAGTTGGTGACCAGGGGCTCCAATCTGGCTGAATTGCAGTTAGTGTGACCTGAACTTCCTGCGAAAGGGGTGGAAGAGGCAGAGAGAGGACAGAGAGAGAAAACACGTGTGATTAGGCATGGGCCTCCCCTAGTCTGGACCTAGGGAGAGTCAGATGTCAGTGTACACAGGGAGCTGACATTTGGGAAGCCAGACTGAGTACCATCCAGGCTGTCTAGGTGGAGCCCCATTCTTGCTGCTGTATTTGGCTACCAGATGTCACACAGGGGTCTCACACTAGGCAATGTAGTGGCTACTGGTGCTCCACCACAAGCCCTCCTCTAGCTGCTTAGGCCCAGTTCCCCTGAGCCTCAGAGGAGCCATGGCCTGGGGCTGCTCGGGCTCCTTGCTAAGTGTCAGTCAGGATGCCAGCATGTATCTCATCCAACACCACACCCACGAAAACAGCAGGCCCTGCCTTCTGCTTCTAACTACAACGTAGGCATCTAGCATCCTTAACAAAGGCTGTCTCCAGCAGACCACAAATGCCAGCGTTGCCTCGCAGTCACGATTTCAGCTGGGAAGCCTACCCAAGTCTCCCCAAAATGGCTGGAGTGACGTCAACGTCTGGTCTGGCTTGGCTACATTCTTCTGGGTTTCGTCATCCCTTCCCACCTGCCTCTCCTGCTGCATACCAAACACTCCTGTGGGCTCACATGGGGAGGTAGGGGTGGCTCCCGCTCTCCATGCCACCAGCCTGTAGACCCAGCACCATAAGCTGATCAAGCATCCGAGAAAGGAGATCAAGGGCAGGGCAGGATCCCGCTGGGAAAGCCTTCTGCCAAAGAACTGTAAGCACTTGGTGATTTAGAGACAGAGCCTCACTGGAAAGGCTCTCTTGGCCAAGAAGCACCAAGAGGGACAGCCACACTTCACACAGGAGAGGAAGTGTGTATGGGCCTCAGATCAGCCAAATGGCCACAGACCTTTAGTAAAGGATTTATAGACTCCATACTCAGAGCCTGGCTTCTCTGGGACCCAAGGGCTACAATGACAGGGCATCCTCTGGGTCCATAGGCCAAGGTAGTACCTCCCACAGTCCACGATGCTTCAAGGCAGAGATGGAGGCACCGGAACAGACGTCCTGCCCGTGCTAAGCACCTGACTAGGAAAAGGCCTTGGAGAAGGCATCATGTGGGCAGTTACTGCTTCTCAGCCAGCTGGTGAAGGAGTCAGGACTGCTCACCTGCTCCCAGGTCCCACTGTAATATCAGCTGCAGCAAAGTCACCCACAAAGGCTGTCCCTCTGTCCTCCAGCAGGCTCGCTATGCTCACAGAGCAGAAAATGGCAGTGGGCTCCAGACTTCCCCCAGAGGACCCTACCCATGTGTGCTGTCAGGTCAGGGCAGCTGACAGAGAACCCAAAAGGTGCCTAGCTCTCAGGTGGACACTGCTATGACAGCAGCAGCTGGTGTCCTGCCTTTTCAGCCCAAGCCCCCATAGCCTCTCCTACAACGTGACTTTCCTGGGAGCCAGCCACAAATCCCTGACAGGCTTGATCATTTTACAACCCCAGGAATGATCGTGCTCGCCAGGGCGAGCCTCTTGGAGTGTTAGAGGGAAAGGTACAAGAAACAGGCAAGCAAGCTGTAGACGTGGCATCTATTTTCCCTGGACTTTGGCCACATGCCACCAAATCCCAAGTGAGGAACTCTGTGAGTGACCCTGAGGCCAGGGACAATCCCGGATAGTACTATGAAGGAGATTCGGTCTCAGCCGCATCTGTTACTCTAGTGACTCGTCCCCTGTCTTGGCCCTTGGGCTGTTTATGGATCCTAAGCAACACAGTGCAGGGCACACACTGACATCCTAAAAGCTGATATCAGAAAAGGATAAGATTAGTTCCTTCCTACTAAACTGAAGACAAATAATGTCTTCAAGTATCATTTGCATGGGTTTTGCTGTTTTAAAAGAGGCCACAGAGAAATGAATGGGGCAGGGGGCAGGGGGTGGGGAGGGACACATGACATGAGTTGTGAGGCGCGTGTCACTGTGTCCTGCATGATTTCTCACCCCCCTTTCCTCCTTTTCTCTTTGCAGGGCTCTATGTGCAGGCCATGGCCGACCTGGATACTGCCAAGCTGTACTCAGGGCTGCTTGGGGTAGGGGATGAGATCCTGGAGGTGAACGGGGCCAAGGTTGCTGGGCTGGGCTTGGCTCACATCAAAGAGCTACTGGCTCATGTGGAGAGCTTGTCAATTCGTGTCTTGAGACAAAGGCCTGTTCCCCGATGACCCTGAAGTACTGCTGCTCTTGCTGACACTCCTTCAGGACCCCTGACCCACACACACACAGCAGGAGGGGCTAGAAATGTGCCACCCAGAGTTAACATGTGAATGGAAAATGTAGTTCACAGATCAGAAGCTGTTCTGATCCACCACCTGCAGGAAGAGGCTAAGAACCTTGTGTGTACATGCAGTTAAGGTTACTAATTTATACAGGTCTGGGGATAGAAAATCCTGGTTTCTTCCTTCACAGAGTGGTCATGTTCCTTTGTTGGAGGGAGAGAGGACAGCAACTGACTGATCCTTGGGTTGGTCCCTGAGAGCTGGCTTCAGCTTCTGGCCACGCTCACCGAGAAGGCTTCCCAGCCCCCAGCACACCAGAGACAGCGTGGCCACTCTGGCTTTGTGCCCCATTCCTTTCAGCTGTGGCTTGCCTGCTTTCCATGTGACACTTTGCTTATGATCCAGAAAGGGCTCAGTATCTTGGCACAGCCTGACAGCCAGGAACACATATTCCTAACTGTGTTCTGTAAAGTATGGCCTGTCAGGAGCTCTGTGCCCCTCCTGAGTATGCAAACTTCTGAGCAATTCTGGGAGCCGAATATTAAGAATTACTAGAGATTTTTATGACCAACACAAAGTTGAAAAATGAAACTATTGCCATTTGCAGCAAGTGTGGCCATGGTACTAAGGCCCAGCCAGTCCTTTGCCTCCACCCCTGCCTAGACCCAAGTTGTTGCAGCCTGGCCTGGGCGGGCCTTCGTCTTTGTTCTCTTGTCCAGCTTGGAGACGGCTGCAGCTGGTGTCTGGCTGTCCCCCAGCTGCAGGGTTCCTATCCAGACCTCCCTGGTGGCAGCTGTGGGTGGGCAGCAGGCAGGGAGGCTGTGAGCTGGGGGTGGCCACCCCACCTAGGCATAGTGCAGCCTGCTCAGCTTAGCCCCTGCTCAAGGGTTCAGGACTCTAGATGCCTGGACAGGTGTCAGTCTTAAGTTATTAAAAAGCCGAAGCCACTTCCATTGGAATTGCTGGATTCTGTCTTCATTTCGTCTCTATAGTCCTAAGAGGCCTGGGACAGGCAGGGGCGAAAGGGTACAGGTATGGCCAGGGGACATTCAGAGGGGACATGTGGAGGCCTGCAGGGGTAGGGTCATGGCAATGGTAGATGCAAAAGGCTCTGCAGTCAGGAGAGGAACCCTGGCAAGGCTGAGGATTGGAGAGAACAGAGCTAAGAACCCTGGGCTAGGTGTGTGGTAGGGTGGAGTGTGCGGCTCACTGCCAGTTTGAAACTTGCCATAGTGCCAACTATGGTTAAAAACAACAAAACAGCTTTCATGTGGATTGGGGTGACATGAGTGTCACAGACAGTTTTTATCGGACAAGGAAGACTGACCGAGTATTGCCTGTGGAGAGGTGACAGAGGAAACTGTCCTGGCTGGGGAGGAGATGGGGAAAAGTCAGTCAAAACCCTGCTGCTCCTGCCCCAGAGGCTGAGGAGAGGAAGAGAAGTGGGGGAGTGTCTCAGAGCCCCAAGAGTGCAGACTGGATGGCTAGGACTATCCTAGGCTAGAGAAAAGGCAGAAGGAGGGGGGTTCTAACAGGTGGGCATAGTAACCAGCATATCAAGTGCATGAAACCTCAGGGCATAAAGAGGGCACTGGAGTACCCCAGAGACAAATCTGCCCATCCCTTCCCTGCAGAAACTACAGCCCAGGGAAAATCCTGGTGACCCCATACAGCAGTGGTTCTCAACCTGTGGGTTGCGACCCCTTTGGCAAACCTGTCTCCAAAGATATTTCCATTCAATTCATAACAGTAGGAATATTATAGTGCTGAAGTAGCAATGAAAATAATTTTATGGTTGTGGGTCACCACAACATGAGGAACTGTATTAAAGGGTCACAGCATTAGGAAGGCTGAGAAGCCTTGCCCTGCTGCCTATTCCCTAGCCTGGAGCTGCCACTGAAGAAATTTCACCTTGGAAATAGCGTCAGCAGCAAAAGTCATTCTGCTTCCTGTATAGTGGGGTCACTTGTCTTCTGGAGAAATACAGTGAAGGGGCTGTGGCTGGAAGGTGACAGGAGAAGGCTGGAGTAGCGGGAGTTTCTGCTGGCCAGGCCTGGTGTACCCTAGTCTTTAAGGGGCCTATCAGGAGAGTCCTGCTTCTTGTCCTTTCAGAGGTGGGAAACCCAGCTCAGTGCCAATGCTGGTGTCAAGTCCCCAGCCCTGTCTGCCTGGCATGAGGTCCACCTATCTTCTCTAACCTTCCCCTATTTTCCTCCTCCAGTGGTGGAAAAGAACAGAACCCAGATGTGAGAATGTATAGAGCAATAGTCTCCCCTGCTTCTGACCTGGAGTCTGAGGCACCTTGTGGCCTCTGCTTTCCCCTGGGATAAAGCGATGCTTTCCCTGACCTGTCTGGGGGTTGGGGGGGTAGGGTGAGCACGCTGCCCTCTCCAGCCTCTTGTCTGGTGTCTGTCATCTGCTTTACCTAGAGAGCTGCTGGTGTGGTTTTAGTCCTTCTCCAGATACTGCATCATCAGAACCTTCTAGAACTTAGTTAATTGCCCTAAGCCTGGTCTGGTGCAGGCTGGAGGGGTGGGGGAAATGAGGAAGACTACAATAACACAGAGAACAAGGAAGGGCAAGAATACCATACCATCACCTGGGCAAAACACACAGCCTATACAAAGATGTGTGTCTGCCCTTGAATACTTGCATTCCTTAAATCCCCAGAAAGCAGTTGGTATTGGGGACCACAGAACAGAAAGTACCAACTTTGGCCTCAGACAGGCTATGATCTCCTAAGGGGTCGCAGGGCAGAGATGGGTGGACCTTGCAGGGGAGCTCAGAAGGCACTATTTTCACTCATGCTGTGCTTCCAGGAAGAGGACACTGGATGACCTCTAAGGTGTGTCTCTAAGGTTGCACAGGACCTGTAGGAGCTGGGAGCAGGATTCCTGTCACCAGGCACTACTGGTGCTGGGTTCACCTTGGAGAAAAGACAGGTGTGTCATAGGACTTGTGGTTGGTAGGTAACCCTCGCTGTGCCAGCCAGCCAGAGGCGGCTTTGCCACAGCTCTGCTATACATCCTAAGACACAACAGTAGAGTAGAGTGCAAGTCCGGCAAGGAGAGGTGGCCCTGAGGGTCGGGACAGGTGACAGGCCAGTTAGTTGTCAGCTGCAGTACCTTCAAAGCTACTGGTCATTGAGGAATGGTCCCAGAGGGCCTGCTCCTGCCAGGCTGGGGACACCACAGCCTTGTATGCAGTGGCCTGGATGAAGAGCTCAGTCTGCTCTGGAGGACAATTTAGTGGAGGGTGAGAGAGGGGCACCTGAGCAGAACCCCTTGAGGAAAGGTGCCTAGGAGAGACCAGGGCAGCCTGGGGTGCAGGAGGGGTGTGCAGGCTAAAGTTGACCAAGGCAAATGGGAAGGCAAATGCACATACTGGACCCACGTGTGTGCATGCAGGGATGAGCCACACAAGCACGGCTCCAGCTAGGGGGTGCAGCAGCAGGCAGCGGTGCCACCCGATCTGCTGACCTTCACAGGTACGGGGTGCTTTGAGGTCCTCTGGGAAAATGAGGTCCAACTTTCCACCTTGCCACCTGCAGGAGAGAGGTTTTCTCTGGTCGTATTTCTGACTCTAATTGACATTTAGGATGTGTTGAGGGGAGGGCTGGGAAGCAGAGTTCCTCCTACAGGGCAATGACAAGTTCTGTACCACCTTGGGTTGTTGAGTGGGTAGAACTGATGAAACCCAGGCATGGTCTTTAGAGAAGGTTATAGACCAAAGTTACCGAGAAGCCACAGACCTGGAAGCAGATGTGATGACATAAGTGGACTTCCAGGCCAGTCACAGTGGCTCGGGGAGGAGGGCTAACCACGGTTGATGTTCCCAGCCTTGGTTGCCCTGGCACTGGGCCCCAGTTCCACACATTTTCATTTCTCCTATTTATCTGTGGCCTTTGCTGACTCTCTTCCATCTACCTACTGCCTGGCAACCTTTACAAGGATTAGAGAAGTGTCTGTCCTGGGAGCAAACTGTGACACTGTGCTGGCATTGGTTCCCTCTCCCTTTACCTCTCACACAATCATGCAGTCAGGGCCTTTAGACTGTGACTTTTCTTCAATGCAATTATCCTTCAGACCTACCTGGCAACAACTGGTCTGTCCTGGTGCACCTGCCCAAGCCATTTCTTCTATCCCCAGGAATATTCTGGAGCTATTCACAAGCCCCTACCATCCCCAGATCCCTTCCCACCCAGCTCTGTGAAGTCTCTTTCCAGTGCAGCTAGAACACCTGCTCAGAAATGGCAGCCTTCCTTGGCAAACTCCTCTCAGCTCTCAAAGGCTGTGGGTTTGGCCAGGTTGCTGTGCTGGGCCCAGGAAGGGAGCTGCTGGGACTGGCTCAGATACTGTGCCCATGGAGCCAGGGCTCAACAGCTGCCCTGCCAGTCCTGGAGGGCATCCGGGACTGTTCTGCAGATGCCCAGGCACCTGCCAGGCCTGTCTTTGTCTTGTCCTTCTGCAATCTGGGCTCAGGCCTCTGTCACAGTGTGGGGCTGCCCTTGGGGCTCTGGCCGGGTGCCAGGCACTGAGGGGAGGCCTGCTCTGTGCTTTGGGATGCCCACACCTCTTGAATGGAGTCAGCTCTAGCTGAGAGATAAGGCAAATCAGCATGTCATGGACTACAAGCGACCTTGAAGCAGCAGGCCCATCCCACCTGGGGACCACAAAAGCTTCTGGGGAGGGCCAGCCTCAGCCCTGTGACCCCTCAAGTTCACCAGCCTCCACCCAGCTCAGGAGCTAACACAGGAGGAATGTGGATGTGGTAGGTGCCCTTGCACTGCGATCATTGCTGCCACAGACGACCAAGTCTCCAAGTCTTCTTGGGTTATGACAATCAGCAGTTTGTTCAGTTTTCTTGTAAACAAAATCCAAATATCAATGGGGCTGACTTCCTGAGCTCTTGGACCAGAATTATTATCTTAGATTAGCCCAGGCTGGTCTTGAACTTGCCACAATCCTCAGCCTCCTGAGTGGCTGGGATTACAGGCCTATGCAACTATGCCCAGGCCTAGATCAGACTTCCTGACTTAACAGTAGACTTTATTAGCAACTCTGAGACATGGTCAAGACCAGGCACCCGTCATCCATGCTTTACCTTAGTTAGGTACTGAAGAGTCTGATGTTTTAGGAGCTGGGAGCTGGCTCTATCAGGAGGCCCCCAGTGCCGAGGACCTGATTCTCAGCACACACATTTGCCAGCTGTGGTGATGGATATCTGTAACCCCGGAGCTGGGGAGACAGAGGTGGAAGGGTCCCTGGAGTCTGCTAGGCCCCAGCTGAAGATCTTGTTTCATAAACCAAGTTGGATGGCTCCTGAGGAGCATGCCAGGTGAGAGACAGCTTTAGTGAGATACTTGCTTGCCTTTACTCATGTTACACTGGCATCTTCCCTGAACCAAAAACCTGTGGTCCAGTCAAAGATACCATCAGTATCTTTGAGTGAGATTTTTTTTCTAGTACTGGAGACTGAACTTGCTCTCACACACTTACTAGATGAGCACTCTACTTCTGACTATTATATCCCTAGCCTTTTTTCTATATTTTATATATATTAATATTATACTTACTTAGTCTGCATGTGTGTGGGTATACATGTGCCATGGTACCCATGTCCTACCATGTGGGCTCCCAGGATTGGATGGGTCATCGGGCCTGATGGCAAGTGCCTTTACCCTGTACCATTTCATACCTTACCACCCACCTCTCTTTGGAGATACGGTCTCACTGAAGGTCTCACTAAAGTTCATCGGGCTGGCCTTGACTTTTAAATCCTCCTGCCTCGGCCTTTGGAATAGCTGGGGACTATAGGGCTTCAACAGTAACTGATGGTTAATTTCTTTTTTTAAGGTTTATATGTGAGCATCTGCACACCTGTGCATGCCTAGTGCCCAAGAGGCCAGCAAAGGAGATGGGATCCCCCGAAACTGGACTTATAGGCAGCGGTGTGCTGGGGAGAGAGCACAGGACTCTGCAGAGCGCAGGCTCTCAGTGCTGAGCCTTCTCCAGCCCCGTGCTGGTGCTTCTCTTAGGCTTCATGCTGCAGTCTTCAGGCAAAGGCCTATAACCTCAGCTGCTTAGGAAGCTTAGGCAGGGGCATTGAAAACCTGGCCCTCCTCTCCATTTTCCTGTGTGTTAGGACTCCAGGCAGGCGCATCTGGTTTGACTCAGCACTAGGACTTGAGCCCCAGGCTTGGCAGGCACTCCAACGGGGCTGCCTTGAGCTGTAACAGTCCGTAACTCCGACCTTCTAGCAGCTGCCGGCTTTCTCTGCCCTAGGCAGATGTCTATCTCGGGAATGTTAAAATTGTTTTATTTAATTTTTTTCATATATTTTAATCATATACTCCCTCCCCCCTACATTCCTCCCAGATCTTCCCCATCTCCCTATTTAACAACCTCATGTTCTTTCTCCCCTTTCACAAAAAAAAGAAAAGAAAGAAAAAAAATCTGAAGAGACTAAAAAGAGGAAGAAAAAAAAAAAGGAGTCCATTGTGTTTTGGCCAACAACCCCTGGGCATGGCCTGTCTCTAAGTGCAGATGACATACACAGTGACACTCCATGGATTCTTTTCCTGATACCCAGCAGGTATCAACTGCAAATTGTTTCGTTCATACGTCAATAGTTTTTAAGTGCGTGTGTGCACGCGTGCAAATGCACACATATGTGTGCGTGTGCGGAGAGCCGAGAGCATTGTAGCTGTCTCCCTCTACCAGTCATTTACCTCCCGTCGCCAGCATCTTTCACTGAGTTTGGAGCCTGTGGGTTTTCTGGCTAGGTTGGCCATGGAGTCCCAGTGAGCTTCCTGTCTTCACCTAAGCCTGGTGCTGAGGCCAGACATGAGCATCCATGCCCAGCTTTTCTGTGTGCTGGAGAATCTGAACTCGGGTGCTCGAGCCTGCACAGTGAGTGCGCTGGTCCTCTAAGCTAGCTCCCCAGCCTCCGCATGCTCTGTTAACTAGTGCAGACGGGAAGGAGGAGTAACCTGTGTTTCAGTGTGAAGACTAAAACTACGAACGAGCGGATGGGGAAGCGGGAGAGCACATGCGCAGCTCAAGCTCAGTCTTCCATTTTTAAAATAAAGGAGAAAGGGAAGGAAGAAAAACACCCATGACATCGCTCTGGTCTTCATCTTGTTTTAATACTGCACAGAATTCTGTTACACGGCTGCACACGACTTCAGGAGCACAAGTAACACGTGGACTGCAAGGTGTAAAACATCACCTTTATGGATGGCTAGTTGAGTTTATTTTACACACGTATGTCTTAGAAGTTTTCAAGTGTGTGATGTCATCGCATTTTAGATTACCATCAGAGCAGGGACGACTGTTTGAGAAATGTTCCCCTGCAGATGGAGCACAATGCAGCAGCGGTGGTCCTCAGCGGCGCTGGAACCCAGGGGCAGGGGAGCTAGCCTCCTCCTTAATGATTCCACAGAAAATGCATCGCTAACAAGCTTCTCACCCTGGGAGAGCCACCACATAAACCTACCTGTGGCAGAGGTGACAAAACTCTAGCCCCAGTGATCTGGTTCACGTTTACCATGCTGTGGGGACATGCCACCTGGAAGCCACCCAGGTAAAGTTCTAATCCTGACCCCACACCAATGTGTACATCCCATTATTTAAAAGTAAAGGTATTTATTCTTGAAAAAATATATAAGGGCTTATTTCCCACTATTTTGCCACTTATAAATTCTATTTCTGTATTATACCAATTTCTGATTAAAATGAGTCAGGGAGCTACTTATAACATCAAATCTGCCATCATCTGCAGCTTGGTTCCTTTGGCCATTTCCTAGATGGCTCTCATATCTGCTAGCATGCTGAGGGTTAGGCCCAGCCTGGGCCAGTCAGGAAAAGGCCATAGAGAGCTAGCTGAAAGCACTTGCCAAAGCTGGAGTGTGGCTTAGTGGTACTCAGTGTGCTGTACGTACAGGGTCCTGGGTTCAAAAACAGAAGAAAGCAGAACAAAACAAAAGAGCAATTCCAAAGCTTCGTCAGTGGGTAGCTAGCTGCCCTGCCCTCTGACAACCAGGCCACAGACACTCTGCTTTCCTTTCGAAAACACATCCTTCTCTCGAGACAGAGCTCAGCTTCCGGGTCCTACTCGCTGTTCACAAATGGATCCCAGCTGAATCTACATTCTGCTGAGATGGCATGAAAAGCTTGATCTTGGTCCCACCCAGGGCTCAGGAAAGCCCAGACGGAGCAGGGCAGGGCTCAGATATCTGCTCAGCAAACAGTGATGACGGGTGGTCTTATTCCTAACAGTCCCTGAGCACCAAGTGGGGCTTTCGGTAGAAAATTCTTAACCGTAAGAAAACAAACTGTAAAATACACTTCCTCATAAAGCTCTGGCTGCAGTTGGCAAACCATGTCCATGAAATGTTCATGTGAAACCCCAGCAGCGGGGCAGGCATTGCCTGAGCAGCCAGTGTGCTCAGCTAGGAGAAGAGCATTTCTGGATTAAGGTCACATCAGAAGAAAAATAGCACCAACATGTTAGCTGATGGCAGGGACACACACACACGCGCACACACACACACACACACACACACACACACATGCGTGTTCTTTTCTTTCTCACCCTGCCCTGACAGCTGACTTGGCAGAAGCTGTAACATATGGAGAATTTCCAAATGCAGCCAGTCAGCAGCCACCTGAACAGGCAGCATTCAGAGCCTCAGTGTTTGTCCGCAGGCAAAACACACCACACTGAGGAGCTGAGTACAAGTTAGCGTCACTCTGTTCTGTTACTAAGGCCAGCTTCCAGTGCCTTGACTTGTCCTAAAAGTATATGGGCTCCCGATGGCTAAATCCTGCCTGCAAGGTCTATTCTTCTTCTACAAGGGACGGCACCTGGCCCCTTGTCTCCTCCCCTGGGTCACAGTCCTGCTGCTCAGGTCATAGGAGCTGTTCCACTCCAAACTCATGCTTTTCTGGATTCGAAACCAGACAGTAAAGCGGCCCAGTGAGCATTAGTAAGGAACCAGTGACAGGCACCTACGTTCATGCACAACGGGCCAACGCCATCCTTTCTTTTAAAAAATGGACATTTATATACTTGCATGCACCCGCAATATAGCATGGATGTGGAGGAGAGGACAACTTGTGGGCGTTGGGTCTCCTCTTCCACCACGTGGGTTCTGGGGAATCACAATCAGGTCATCTGGTTTGGCAGCAGGTTTTCCCAGCTTCCCAGTTCCCCATGCTTTCTCTTAAGAGAAAGGCCATTTTCAGGGTAAGATGTTTTTTTGAAGGTTGGGAGTTGAGTAAGGACAACTGGACATTTAAGACAGACCACCTCCCATTTTACCTCCCAGAAGTGAGTCTCCAGGGGCCCACTAAGGCCTCTGGTTGGGGAGTCTTCTCTTCAGGAATTGACTGGGGTGCACAGTAAGGGGCTGATAGATTTGCAAACTCCAATTTTACGGTCTCTCTTCTCTAGATGGACGAAGTACACTTTTAAAAGATAGACAGAAGCCCATCGTTCTTACCAATTTGGGAGGGAGGCTATGCAGTCAGAGAGAGGCTATGTAGTCAGAGGGAGGCTATGCATTCAGAGGTAGGCAGAGGAAGGGACAGCTGCTGCGCCCACATTTATAACTTGCTTTCCAGACAGTCCATTTCTGTTTCGGTTACAAATTCACTTTGTAGCACAAGGTGAAGGCAAACCGCACACATTCACAGAGGTGAACTCCACTCGCCCTCCCTTGCGCTCTGGGCCTGCAGACACTGTGAATGCCCCTCTGGCCTCACTCTGTGGGCAGAGAAATTACCAAAAGAAAAATTCTGGCTCCACCTCCTTTCTTTACAGAAGGTAAAACACTTAACAGAGACAGATTTCTGTTGGAATCAGACTGGCTTTCTCTTCACAGCCCTTACCCGCACGAGGTGAGAAGGCATGGAACTTGCCAAGTTGCTGGCTACCAGACCCATCAGTCTGTTTAACTCTGGCTAAAAGCAGAGAATAATGGGCAAGTTGCCAAAGTTCCCTGTTCAGCCTTAGCATGAATTCTGAATTGAGGAAAACACAACATGCGTGCTCAGGCATACACGACAATTCCATTTGCCTCACAGTCCAGGGCAGGCATAGCATTGTGATTTCCCAGCCCAAACAAAGACAAGATCCAAACTGAGGGCTGAGAACCAAAGGTATTTTGGGAGCTGCACTCTGACAGATGCTCTCAGTGGACCGTCCTCCGTCTCACCCCTGGTCGACTAGGTAAAGTGTTCTTCCAGTAAGTACACTGAGCTCTTTCTGTTAACCAGCATATATATTCCACCAGTTCCTTAATGTGGTGGGTGTGAAACCAAGTGCAGAGGCAGGGTGGGGGCTGGGGGAGCACATCTGTAAGAGACACTCCTAAGCTGCGTGGGCCATCCCCATGTCCCTTTTCTATTCTAGGACATATGGTGGAAGGACCGTCAGCTCTCTGGGTCACTATGGAAGAGAGGTGTGTCCTTGTTCTCTTTGCCCTGGCTCTGCAGTGACTGCTCAGGCAGGGCACACCAGGCTGGCCTGGACTATCCTGCTGCAGGAATGCGTGGCCCAGGACGGAGCACCTGCATGAGAAGTTACTTTCTCCCTGACATTCTGCACTCAGTTCCAGCCTGTTTTCGGGTCTACAACACTGTTCAGCCAATACCTTCAATCAGTGAGATCACCATATGAACTCAAAATAGATCCAACAAAATTAAAGCCAGAGTCACAAGACTTCATCCCTGACCTGATGTGGGACTCTGACTAAAGGACTGCTTTCTGACTGAGTCTGACTGACTCTCCTCTACCAGTGGAGAACACGGCTTTAAGTAGGGTGATTTTAATTCTTAGACTGTTCTCGGCTTTGTAATGTGGAGTGTGGGTAACAGGACTCAGACAAGGCCCACATTGATTTTTAACAAAAGGCTTCTATACTTTAATGCAAATCTGAGGACTATCTGTGGTCTACGTTCACAGAAGACTATTCAAAACTTTAAAGTTTCATGAAACAAAAATAACCCAGAACCCTACATTGAAGCCCTTTGTAAAATTCACATTTTCTCCTCATTCGAAAACAAATAACATTGCTGTATCAAACACCAGAGCTGCACATAGATGCGGTGCTGACCACATTTTGGTTTTACTAATCTTTTAGTTTTTACCAACAGGTAGATTTCCTTACCTATCATGATCCTAAACAAGATAAAATATCCTTCTTTTAAAAATTGTTACAAATATTTATTTAAAAGTGCAATTTAAAAGTCAGCTGGGCAAGCACATCATTGGGAATAATAAAACAAAACAAAAAAGGGGCCCAAAAGTCAAAAATCCCAAGGAATATGAAGAACCCAGGATTTTTTTTTTTTTTTAAAGTTGGCATGCTAAGGAATACACAGAAAGGCAAAGCAAGAGAGGTCAAAGATCAAACTGTCCAGATGCTGCTCTTCCCAGCACAGAAGATGACTGAGCGGCAGCTTCCAGTGTGAAAGGCTGGCTCTGGCCCTGACAGCTACCTTAATGCCAGGTTATACATTTGGGACATTATAAGAAATCCCACATTTATATGCACATCTGAGACATGGAAACAGTCACCCAAAGCCTGAAGTGTAGTATCCAGAAGTTTCAGCCACTTCAACCCAATAAACCATCTGTCAGGGACTTGGGACTTTCTCAGTGACTCCAATGGGTGATGGAGTCAAGCTGTCATCTTAGAGAACAAAGTATGAAGTTCTCTTACCCATCCATGCCATTACTCAGAGTAAGGGACCTCCAGTTCAGAGCCACCCTTTCTGTGTCAGGAGAGTTTCTGCATAAATGTAATAGATGTGCTGACCCTTTTACCTCGGCTCTGAGTGCCATCAGAGAAGGTGTGTCCCACCCGGCTGAGCACTGCTGTGCTGTTCCACACTGTATGAGGGGCTCTACATATGCAAGCTGCACCTCTGGGGGACAGCCCTGGGACAGACCAGGTCGGCAGCTCTGGCCAGGCTCAGGAGATATCACCAGTCCTTTAATAGGCTAGACCAACGCAGGTGCTGCTGTTCTTAACTAGCCCAGTCCATTAAAGCCTTCTGTCATCTGCACCCTCATCCCCCAGGGTTCACTATTTCCTGTTGCTTATCCCTGCCACAACACACCTGGAAAAGCAATTTAATCTCAGCTCTTACCCAGCAAAATGAAACACTGCATTTCTGTCACAAAGTGTTTCTGAGCCTTCTGCCCTCAGCAACAGCCAGCTCTCAGGGGCTAAGAAACATAACAGCAATGGGAAACGTACATCCTTAGATGCCCTCATTCTTGCCAGGCTTCTTCTGAAGGGAGAGTGGCACCCATCTAAGCAGGGAAAGGGTCTGAGCAGAAGGAAAGGCTGCCAGAGACCAGCAGAACGAGCAACATAATAAGTAGGGCTGTTAGTTCTTCTGATGACTCCGAGTCCTTCCTTCCTCAAGGAGCGAGGTCCAATAAGGCAAAGCAATGGCTTGCTGTCCTCAGGAAGAATGGGCAGCCAGGGCTTCTGCTATCCAGCCGGGCATGTGGTCACCTCTTTCCTCTTCTAAGCTCGCCCTTTGAGCGCTGGGAGAGAGGGCTGTCTCAATGCTGGAGTCACAGAGGAAGCAGGGCAGAGGTGTGTTTCTGGGAGAGGAATGTAAGTGGCGGAGTGCTTGCTTCTCCTCTCCCCTGGGTCCTCGTGCAGAAGCGCCTGAGGCAGGCAGGCCACCGTCACAGCACTAGGAAGAGGATCAGCACGACCACCAGGACTGCGAAGAGGATGGCTATGGCACACCACTGGCGCCGATCTGGAAGGCAGGACACAGAGGTGACCTTCCCAGGGTTAGGCAGGACAGAGAGGCGACCTTCCCAGGGTTAGGCAGGACACAGAAGCAACCTTCCCAGGGTTAGGCACTCCCCTCCCTGAGACATAGTTCTCAGACTTTAGGACAACATGGCTGAAGACAAGGAGGGACAGAACGTGCACATGACATGCCCAGGCACCAGGTCCCTGTGCTGTTCTGCCTTGGGGCTACACTTCACACAAATCTATAACTCCGCCATTAAGTGCAGGCTTTGAGTCCAGAGCCTTTAGCTGGAGTCCATAGATCTTAGCTTTCTGCTGGTGGCAGGTGTGCCAGTGAAAAGGCTTCGGGCACCGTGTGACAGATCAAAGCTCGCCTGCTTTAATCTCCCACAAAGAACTATACTTCAGCAATGCGCATGCTCTCCTTGTGAGCACTGTGAGAGGGTGGAAAGGAGAGAAAGCCACTGCTGGTTGTTTCAGGAAATGAACGGCTGAAAAAGCAAGCTTCCGTGGCAGAGAATGACTAATTTCATATCACACCTAGTCAGATAAGAAGATTACTTAGCCAGTAACTGTGTCCAAATGATTTACACAGTATATCTGTAAAGAAAGCCAATGCCTTCTGAAACCTTCAGCCCTACTAACAGTTTGGAACAATTGGCACAGGATACAGGAAGACTACAGTTCCTCTAGATGGTCGAAAGCAGAGAAGCCAAGCCCCCTTCAAGACAGAAAGGCAGACAGGCTGAGGGATGTCTTGCGCAGCCCACAATCCTGAGTCTACAACTGTCCCCCAAAGGGTTAAAGAAGATCTGTATCCATCGCATGCTGTGCAGGGCCCAGCTTGAGGCACCACCTAGACAGCACCATCATTAGGGTGCTTATGTAACCTGGAGAAACGTGGACCACACAAGTGGTTTCCACTAGCAAGTCCTCATGTCCTTCACAAATGACCAGGATGATACAAAGGAATGTGACTAAGAAGCTAGGCATGCTGGGTATACTTATTAACACTAGGAAGGCTGAAACAGGAGAATTCCCACAAGTTGACAGCCAGTCAAAGTACCAAAGTACCAAATCAGCCAGAGCTATACACATTCTGTTAAGAACAAAAAGCAAAGAAGGACATGATGAAGAATGACTGAGTACCTAACGGTCTGCTGCACAGGCAAGAGATCCAACACCCCGAACCCAGGTAAACTGAGGCATGGCAGCATGCCCCTGGAGCTGGTGTGGAACAGAGATAGGTAGATCCCTGGGACATTGCCCAGCCAGTCGTTCTAGCAGAACTTACAAGTTTTAGGTCTCAAAAAATAAAGATGATAAGGTGGGAAGTAGCGGAGGGAGAGCCTGGCTGACCTCCAGCCTCCGCTTGCACATACAAAACGTCGTCATTCTGAGAATGGAGCTGAACCAGGAGCAACAAGCCACTGAAATACAAGTATAAAGGTATACATAAAAGTACAGATGTTGTTAAAGTCTACTGGACAGCCTTCAGATCTCAGCACAGCACAGCTCTGATGAACATATTATGGGATGGTCTGAATTTAGGAAACTAGATAAGGAAACTCTCCACAGAGCAAATGATGTACTTAGTAAGTGCCACAGTATCAACTGCCCAAGGTACGCACAGATCAGACTGCCACTCTGCAGCTCATAAATATGTACAAATATTAAGTGCTAGTTCCCAAAACTAAATTAACCAAGAATTTTGAGGCCACTAAAACTCTCTAGTATGACAGCATGGTGGGCATACGTCCTACTTTGTCAAACCCATGCGACAGGCCTGGTGTGGGGTGCACACCTTTAATCCCAGCTCTTGGAAGACAGAGGCAGGAGGATCTCTCTAAGTGCTATCATAGCCAGGGCTATAGAGAGACCCTGTCTCAAACAAAGAAAAGAAAGAAGACAGCTTATTAATATAAAAAAAGCTTTTATTATAAGCAACTGATACTTAGCCAGGGCAAAGCCAGCTCAGGGCCCTGCTTCCTCCTTCCTCTCTCTCTCCTCATACACACTTCCCTGCACTTCTCCCTCCAGCAGCTCACCGTCTAAGTGCCGGATTTCCTACACAGCCTGGCCTGTGACAGTCTGCATCACATTCTGCATCCCTCCAGTCAATTTCTCTTGAGCAACTGCATTACACAGGGGTTCTAATCAAGTAAACAACTGCAGGGGCTAACACAGGCCAGCTCTGCACTTTTTAAGCCTCTTTCCTCTGAAGTGGTTAATTTGCTTCTACAGAGGCATAACTAGGCAACCCTAGGGACATTACCTGGAAGACATCTGAGCACTTTCTGTGTAGCTTCAAGCACACAAGGAATGGGTCCTAACTAGTTTTCCAGCACCAGGCATGTGACTTGGAGCTAAGCTTGTATCCACACCGAGCCGCACCTCCAGCTGGAAGCAGCTCAAAACCAAAGGAGCTCCAATGGCAGTTTCTTCCTCAAAACACTCCCCTGCCTCCAGGAGAGAAGACAAATCACAGACTGCTGAAGGCCAAGGGGCCTTGGCATTATTTAAGAGTATTTTCCTCTGGGTAACAGAAAGACAAATTATTGCCTCTCTTGGGTCACTCACAAAATGAGTGTGGGGGTCTTGACACACTTCTCCCATGTAGTAGCCAACCAGGAAGGGAAGGGAGGGCCTGCTCCCTTCTGCTGCTGATGTGTGCTCAGGGCTTCGCAATCAAATCTTGATGTTGTTTTGACACTATGTTTACATACAGATTCCATAACAAAGCAATGAACTTAACCAAAAGTTATGGAAGAGAAAAGAACACTTACAGGCTGCTTGGTCAATAAACAGAAGCACGTACTGTAGCAGTATCTCTTTGGTAGCACGCAAAAATTAAAATGAAGGGTATCTCACTCTATCTGCTCTGTTACTACACAGCAGGGCAGTTGTAGACTCTTCACCACACAACATAACCAAATATCTCATGCTGTTTCCCAAACTCGTCTTTCTGGACAAAGTGAAATAAAGCATAAGAAAGCCTCAGTGTTGCCGACACTCTGCAGGACCTTCCTACGCTCTTCACACCCAGAATGCTAGAAAACAAAACACACAGACCCTCTTTGTTCGCTCGCTCTTCCCTGACAGAGCTGATGCTGAAGGAGCTACTTGACTGTACAAGGGACACACACACCAGTGAGAGGCTAGCCTTTAAACTGGTTATGGAACACTTCCTTAAAGAAGTGGGTTCAGTGTCTGCTGGCTAAGCATGAGAACTTGAGTTGGATCTCCACAGGCAGGTAAAAACCAGGCATATTGGTTTGTGCCCACAAACACAGTGCTGGATTGGGGAAAAGACAAGGAGGCAGACATAGGTGGATCCAGGGGGTTCATAGTGGTCAGCCAGGCTAGGCAAAATGGTATGAGTCAGGTTAATGAGTGACTTAGTCTCCAAAAAATAAAGATGAAGGCTGGAGAGACGGCTCAGCACTGATTGCTCTTCTAGGTAACCCTAGTTCAATTCCTAGGACCCACATGGTGGCTCACAACTATGTAACTACAGTTCCAGGAAACCAACATCCCCACACAGACATACCTGCAGGCAAAACATCGATGTATATAATAAACAAACAAAGAAGTCTGAGAGGCTAGTGAGTGGGGAAAAGCACTTGTTGACAAATCTCACAGCATGAGTTAGATCTCCAGATCCCATATGGTGGGAGGAGCTAACTCCCTCAACATACATGTGTATACAAGCATGTGCACAAATGATGGATGGATGGATGGATGGATGGATGGATGGATGGATGGATAGATACACAGACAGTAAAATAAAAATGATCTCTGGTCTCCACACATGCACATACCCACAAAAACCCATGTACACACATGTACACCACATACACAATTTAAAATTTAAAGGCAAATACATAAAGTAGAGGATTACAGGTAGGGGAGAATGGAGGAACCAGAAAACAAACTTCAGACCCTTCTCTAACCGTGGGGAAGAGACACTGAGCTGGTGCCCGCTTCCTGTATAATACACACAGCTTCAGACAAAGAATCTGCTTGAAGCATAGAGACATTTCACCTAGAGAGAAAAGAGAGCACTCAGATATGCAGTTCTTTCTGGTTTGGATTTGACGGGTCCTTGTCCGTTAGGCTTCTCACTGTGCAGTAGTTTTGAATATTTACAGAGCACGAACGCACAGTTAAGCACCTTTGCATTATTATTCATTCAATGCTCACTGCTCTGTGCTGCTTGTCACAGAACACGGGCCTCACCCCTGCCTGGTTAAGTACTAAAGACTCTCCCATTGGGCTCTAGCCACACCTCTCAGTGTTTTAGGTAAGAAGTGACGGGCAGACACTGCTGTGAAACCGAGCCAGGAGGTACACTGCTGAAGAGTCCATCCAGAAACTTCCAGGGGGACGAGGAGGCAGGAAATGGGGAGGGTCTTTTATGAGGGGAACATCCTATGGTCCAAAGCACTCAAATTATCTCAAGAAATATCTCAGGTCTTCCTTTGACCAGGCAACAACCTCCAGATAAAGAGGAAATACTGGGTTTTGACTTAAAATATATCATTTCCTGTCTGTCGGGGGAGGCAATTTGTAGTAATCCAAAAAATGTAGATTAGAAAACATCTTCAAATATGGTAACTGACCTGAAAATGTCCTTCTTCATCCCCATCCTACACACAATTGCTAGGACAGCACTTTATAAGACCACCACGGTCTGAAGAAGTAGGCATTTCCCCAATGGTAAAAGGAAGATAGTTCACAGAATTCAGCAACTAAAGCAATTGCAGCTTTAAGTAAGTTCCCTAGGGCTGGTGAGCAAAAGGGCCTGCTTCCATGAATACATGTGCCACAGAAAGTGTGCATGCATACACTCGTGCTAAAATAAAAATATCACAAGAAAAATGTTAAGTTCTCTAATGTGGGAAGAAAAATAGAAAAAAGTGGGGGAAAAAAGGGATTTGTGATTGCGGAGGAGCTTCTCCCCTGGGAGAACACTGGACAACACGTGTCAGGCAGGACTCTCCCAGCCTGCGGTCCACAAGCACAGGCTACAGCTCCGCACTACTATTCCATTTTCTGACCGGAAAGTAGCACGGACAAATATGCCAGAGGCAAGAGAAGGTCACAGACACACACACATACCACTGGTCATGTGAGACACTTTTGCAAGTTTCTTCATCACGTTGTCCAGTCGAGACTGAGTGCTCTCCAACTCATGAGAGAAATCATCCAGCATGCTAGAGAGAAGGAGAGAGCAGGTGGTAAGCAGCCTTACATTTGCCATGTATTAGGTAAGGCCTGGGCCTCCATCTCAGGGACGAGAAGAGCATCCTCCGGGACTCGGGATCCACTCTATTACCTCAAATCCTTGGAAGGACTTACGTCTTGATTTGTTTGTTTTTTTTTTTAAATAAATTTGGGAAATATATACTTTTTAAAAAATGTTACATATGCTACAGATTAGTCAACAACCTTAGCAGGGTCTAGGGTAGTTCCCATTATCAAGTCTGCTTGTATTTCTGCACAAGAATCCAGGAAGAATCACAGCTCCAGTCGGTTTAGCTGAGGCTTTTCCATCACACAAGTCTGCTGCAAATGAAACACTTGGATTTGTAGACTTCAGAATTGCAGACTAGGCAGTGTGCCTCTGATGATACAACACTGCCAGGTCAGGCAAAGTGCCAGAAAGCCAGCCTTTGTCACTTGCTACTTTGAACAAGGTATCCTACAACTCTTTGAGACTCTTTCTTTCTTTCTCTTTCTTTCTTTCTTTCTTTCTTTCTTTCTTTCTTTCTTTCTTTCTTTCTTTCTTTCTTTCTTTCTTTCTTTCTTTTTTTTTTGGTTTTTGGAGACAGGGTTTCTCTGTGTAGCCCGGACTGTCCTGGAACTCACTCTGTAGACCAGGCTGGCCTCAAACTCAGAAATCTACCTGCCTCTGCCTCCCAAGTGCTGGGATTAAAGGCGTGCGCCACCACCACCCGGCTTCTTTGAGACTCTTGATACCTGTTAAACAGGTGACTATGCCAAACCAATGCCTGTCAAGGGGGCCTGAGAGAAGCACATAATACACAAAAGTACTTTATGTCAATGCGAATTAAGGAGTAGACTTTAAATCAGACAGATCCTCATTTAAAGCACTCAGCCTTATAAGTTAAAAGCCAGAGGCTTGACATTCCTGATGGTGTAGAGTGGGGATTCATATTT